TCTCTGCTGGCTCTCTTTCTCGTGGTTCTGCTCTGCTCTGCTGGTATCCCTGTGACACCACCTTTATAAGCGCAGTCTCTCAGCCCAGGTGTACCCACCTATGTAGGCCCACACCCTACTCCAGGTGCCCACCATCAGGCATGCATTCAGGACCACAGGGTTCCATCATCAATCCTAATGGTGGGAGGGCAGAAAAGCCTGATACTTACCCTACAAGAAGAAGAAGAAGAAAAGGATAAAGGTACAGGCAAAAGGCACCCACCACTGTGTCATTCTTAGAATTCTTATTCAGCATAATTCTGCCCCCATGTCCCTGGTCAGAACTGGGACATATGGCCAGCCCTGCTTGCAAAGGAATCTGGAAAATGAGTAGTTTACTGAACACACTGCAGCTCAGTAAGAAAACAGTTCTGATGGAAAGGAAAGAAAATGGATCTAGCCAGGGACCCAAGAATGCCTGCCACCCTACCCAGGCCCTACAGCTTTTCCAACCCCCAATGGCAGTGTCAGGGTTACCTGACAGTCTGACCTCCAAGCCCCGTGAGGCTCATTACCCATCTCTCCTCCACCTGTGGCCTCCAAAGCACCAGCTACTTCATCCCTTCATCTTGGAGAGAGAGAAAAAACAAAAGCAATTCACAGAATTGGTTCAGGCCCAGGGTGCCAGTGCACAGGGAACCAGTTCTTCAGAGCCTATGGGTGAGTTGAAAGGTTGCTGGTTGGAGAGAGAGCAAGGAAGAAAGTATTCTAAGTGGATCTGCAAAGGCTGACCAGGGCAAAACCACACAGGCTCTGGTGAGCTACAATTCAATTAAAGTCAATCAGTTTTAAGTGGGGCCCCACACCAGACACTGAGGTCTAGAAATGGAGAAAAAGGCCAAGGAACGCCCATAGTAAAGGGAAACACACACATGCAGTCATACATGGTAAAGCTCAGACAGTTACCATGTAGACTCTCAACGCTGTCTGGAACCACATGGATGAGATAACAGTAATTCCAATAAGGTAACATTTGAACTTAGCTTTGTAGGGCAGCTAGGGGTCTTATAAATACGAAGGGGAGGGAGAGGGTGTTTTAAGCAGAGAAAGATATATGAGCAAAAATTTGGGGGCAGGAAAGCAGTCAGTGCATGTGGAAAACTGTGAGTGACCCTCTTGAGGTGGGGGACAGTGCTGCAATGATTGGGGAGACCAGAGTGATGAGGGGGGAAGGCAAGGCAGAGAATTGGTCAGGAGATGAAACAGAAAAGGTAGGTTGGTATCAGGTTGTAGGGACTGAAAACCATCTGACTCACTGGCCTTTGTAGGAAGTAGGGAGCCGTTGAAAGTTTGGTTCTGTGTCTGCCAAACAAGATTTGAGAGCCTGGGGGTGGGGAGACTGAGGCAGGATCACCAGCAGAAGGCTGGCACCACAGAGGCCTGACATAGAACAGAAGCAGTGGGGAAAGAGGAGTGAGGATGACACAGGCTTTTCTGGTGATTAGCTGGGTTGGGCAGTGCCAAGACATGAAGGAGAGGCAGCTTTAGCAGATGGGATGATGGAGTCACGGATTTGTGGCAGCAGTGCTGAGACCCTGGGTCTCTGACCAGGCTGGAGATCATGGTCATCAGACCCAAGTCGGTGGTAAGACTGTGGCTGTGGATTGGCTTGTCCAAGAACTACACAGAGCAGAGTGACAATGGCCAACACAGCTGCTTAGAGAAACTGGATGAGTTTGAGAAAGGTCAGGGAGAGAGGAGGGGACCAGGATCAGGGAGTCTTCTGGAAGCAAGCAGAACTCTTTCAGCCAAGGAGTTAGGAAAAAGTTCTGGCCATGAGGGTGGGAGCTTAGCACTTGACTGATGGGGTGAAGGATGAAGACAAACATTTAGTACAGGAGGTGAGTGTGGGTGCATCCAAAGTAGCAGTTGGTGGGCAGAATTTTCTCTGCTCGTGAATCAGGACCCCAGGATGAAATGGCATCCTGAAATGGAATCCTGTGTCCACCTTGGAGAGTTACCTGCTAGAAATGATAGGGTCTCTCCCAAGACTCCTGGTTTAATGCCTTAAATTTTCCCTGTGAGCCCTCCCTCCACTCCCTGCCCATGGTTTGTAATCTGGGCACCACCATATTCAAGGGTTATTTTTTGCCAAGTATCAGCAAACCAGGGGCAAGTGCTATCCAGCTGGGGGTTTCTCTATATGGTTATAAGTAACTTAGTCAACTTAGGCCACGTTTAAAACATGGAGTGGTCCCTTACACTCCCCACAGTCATGCTGCCTGCCCAAGCCCTAGGTCTTTCCTTGACTCCAATCATGGGGGGTGGGAAATGTTTTAGAAATGGTTCTTGTCACTTCTTACACTACTTCCACCCTGGCTATGCAGCTTGCCCCAGCTATCCCTCTCTCTCTCTCTGTTCCTTGGGCTTCTAGGGAAGTTTGCTTTTTCTTTTTCTTTTTTCAGTTGGGATCAAGGCCCATTTCTCAGTTTCACATTAGCACCACTCTCCTCACAGCCCCCAAATTCTGATTGCATTGCACAGTCCGCCAGGAAGTTCCTGCACCAGTCACTCCCCAATTCTTGTTTGCAACTCTTTTCTCGCTGCCCTCAGTGGCTTCCCATTGTCCTGAGGATAAAAGCAGGATTCACCAGATGCCTGTCTGGTCTGGCATCTGCTTGCTTTTGCAGCCTGTTTCCTCTGCTTAGGAACCAGAGTGGCTCCAGCTGCCTCAGGGCCTTTGCACATGTTACTTCTATTCCTGTGTCCGAATCACTTCTAATCCCTGCCTATCACTCCAATTCCTGGCTCCCACCTCATCATCTTAACATCTCCTGACACTTCTGCTCACTTGTCTGGGCTCAGGGCCATGTTTTAATTGCATACTTATTCATGGGACCATCTGATAAATATCTGTCTTGCCCATTGGCTATCAGGGACCATGTTTTTCCTTTCACTGTTGTATCCTGAAACTTGGCCTGGGGTTCAGCACAGAGTGGCAGCTCACGTCATACATGTGTTGAAAGAATGGAGCAGCTGGTGACCTTATTTTACCCAAGCTCATGCATTTCAGGGGGGTAGATTTGTTTCTTGGTTCCATGGAGGGAGACATGACCCCTTCCCCCCCGAACAAGCTAGAGTATGACTTCATAGTTTTGTGTCACCTCCAAATTCCTGCAGCAGTGTCCCTGGATGGACTATGAAGAAGCATCCTTTGCAAGACAGGCCGTAGTCCTTCCTCATGCAATTATAGCTCCTTATTATCCCTCGCAGCTGCTCACAGGCATTGGGCGGGGCACCTGGGAAGCAATTTGGCTAAGCACCTTGGGATTCTCTGCCAGGAAAGCGACTAGCGCTAACTGTTGGCTCAGCTTTGGACTTCTGATCCCTGGCTTTTCCTTTCCCACAAAGTCTTGCAAAGCCAGGGTTTGATGTGTCCTTACCAGCAGAAACTTCAAAAAGCAACAGAGAGGCAACTGAAAGGGTATCATGGAGGGATTAATCTACTTGCCAAGGACATGAGCATAGCGAGCAGTGTGGTTTAATCTCTCTCACCTCGAGCAAAGCGGTAGAAGGACACTTGTGACCAAGTCCTGATTCATAGAAGAAAAAATAGGGCTCTTGGCCTGTATAAAGTCAACACGGATCAGCAAGGTTTGTGCCAGGCTCTGGTGATGGACCCTTAGCTTTCATAGGTATCCAAGGAACTTCCTGACTGGTCCATTGGGGTGTCTGCTCTGTCCAAGGTCCTGTGATCAAGTGGCCAGCGCTGTCTTCCCTGGGGTCATTCTGAGAGGGAACGACCCCACACCTCAGTAGCCATTTATGACCTTCATATCTGTGCAGACTTCTTGCATTCATGTATATTTCCTGTCTTGGTTTCGAGACCCGAGCATTTTACTCAAATAACTTTCTAGGGCTCCAGCTGGAAGGGACATCAGGGTTATTTAGTCTGTCTCCTTTATTTCACGAATGGGGAAATTGAGACCCAGGGCTGGGGTTTTGAGATAGGGCTTACCAGCAGTACCCATGTGCCAGGGTTTGGGGTCTGTGAGGAAGTCCCCTGCCCCCTACCAAGGCTTGGATAATTCATCTGTTAGAACCCACCCTCCTGCCTGCAGCCCAGCCACCCAGCAGGCAGTATGGATCCTGGTTACCCAGAAAGTGGAGCCCTTACTGGCTTTCTGTGGTTTTGGGTCTCTCCCTTCCTACACCGCCTGCTCCTCACAGTGACAGGCAGTTTATTGAGAACTCTGAGCCCTGGACTAAGGCCCCAGGTCGTCTGTGTTCTGGACACATTCAATCGGGTGGAAGGAAACAGGCGCAATTCCCCCCAGGTCACTTCATAAGTAGAGCTGCAATTGGCCTTGACTTTGGAGCCTTTGGAGGGGGGACAGTACTGTGACCTGGCAGGACCAGGAAGGTAGGCCTTGAAAAGGGGGTTCTGGGCAGCAAATCCGCGGTTCTGGAGCGCTCTCCCCTCTGCACCCCACCTGGCTCCAGCTGGAAATGACAACTACAACCGGAGCTGGCTGGGCGCCCACGGCACAGCCATTCATGCTTTTGGTGCACGTTCCTCTTGATTGCCAAAGCGCCCAATTAACGTGGGTTGCTGTGTCTGGTGCTGGGTTCTTTTCTCTGATTTTTCCGGTCCCCTTGCCTTACTATTTCGGAGAGCCACTAGCGTTGTCATCGTGTTTGTCTCGCTCCCCTCCCACCCACACGAGAGGAAAACCAAAAAGCAACAGCTGGTGGCAAATGCGCGCTGGCGCTGGCCCGCCCCCTCGGCGGCATCTCCTGTTGCTCCTCCGAGCCGCCCGCCCTTTGCAAGCCTCCCTCTCGCTCCTGGAGAGGCGGCGGGCTGGTCGGGCGAGCCGGAGAGGGGTCTGCGCGCGGGGACGCTACCCAGCAGCCCTCGGACGGTGACAGCGCAGCGGCGGCCCCCGCAGCCCAGCCCCCCGCGCCCCACCCGCGCAGGACGCGCGTCTCCAGCCGGCCCCAGCCCTTCGGAGGCGGGAGAGCGAAGCCGCCAAAGCCTCGCCCACCGCCCTGCCCCCAGCCCCGCCACTCCCCGGCTCCTCGGGACTCCGCGCATCCTCCTGGGATCGTCTCCGAGGGGCCGCGCTCCGCCGGTAAGCGCCTGCGGAGGTGGCAAAGTTGGGCTCTTTGTCTTTGGAGGGAACGAGGCGCAGGTGGGGACCGATCGCGGGGCGCAGAGGCTGCGTGTTTTGGTTCCATCGGTGGGCGTGAGTCGTCTCCCCACCCCCCACCCCCAGCAACTGCAGGGCTTGGGGATGCAAAGAAGAAGGAGGTGGGGGTGTGCAGGGAGGAGAGGCCGGGGGCGGGGGCACGCCTGGGCGCTGGGGGGCCTGACGCTGCTGGCGGGAGCTGGAGGCTATGGTGTTTAGAAGGGAGGAGGGCTGCGCCCACTCTGCATTCAGGGGCGAGTTTTCCCTTTGTTAGGATACTTGGAGCCTTGGGCCCTTGATTGGAGCTTGGAGATGCGAAGATGGGGGAGGTGGCCGGGTGTGAGTTTGGACACCTGAGCAGTACAAAATGGAACTTGCTGGCTTGGTGCTTTGGGGCATGGTGGGAGGTGGCTGGGGCTGCAGCCAAGGGGACGGGGGGGGGGGGGGGGGGGGGTGGATATAGAACAGGGGTTCTAGGGCATGTGGATTCATGGGAACATCTGTGTCAATTTTTTTCCTTCTTGCTTATCCAATTTTTTCCCTTGTTTTCTTGAGAGCCCCTTCTCGCCACCCCCATTCCCTCCTTCTCTCATGCCCAGCTCCATTTCTCCAGCAGGGCTGGCCCTGGCAGGGCCTCCCCCATTGTGTCTCACTGGGCTTCTGTGGAGAGTTGAAAGCGCAGCCTGGGGCTCCTGGCGCTTGTTTCTGGCTCTTACAAGTGGTGGCTGGTGGGAAAAGCACTCTAGGATGGTTCTGGTAGAGAAGGCACTGGAGGGTGGGAGCCAGGAGCAGAGCTCTGGAGGAAGGGCCTGCCCTAGTCTCTGCTGCCAACTCCCAGACCCGGGTTTGCCCACGAATGTGCCTCTGTCTCTATTTCCTTTGTCTCCTGGTGCTCTCCGGCCGGGCCTGCATTTCCAGGTTTGGGGATGGATCAGTGGGCAGCTCTTGTCCTCATGAAAGGACCCCCACTCTGGGGGCCCAGCCACCCTCACATGTATGGATGGATGTGTGTATCTGTTTCCGCAACTTCGCCCTTTGCACGTGACCTGCCTAGTAGTTGCTATGGAAACGCCTCTTCAATTCTCAACCTCCTTTTCCTGCCCATTCCTCACCTCCATACCTCCTCCCCTCCCCCCAACATGGTTGCCTGGATACTGGTTATCTCTTGCTTCTCTGGGTAGGAGACCCTAGATAGCTAAGCCTCCACCCCAAACTGATGTTACTCCACTCTCCCCCCATGGGATACATCACAAACCCCCCAAACATATATCCCTCTGTACCACAGGACACACCATACATCCTACTCGCCACATACCTTCCATAAACACACTGTCACACCTACACCACTCACCCACATCACACCACTTATACACGACACACACCCCAAAGGCACCATGCATATACCACACCGCATACACTCACCCAGAATGCTGCACACCCCCATTGCTCTGTGTATGCTCACACACATCCCCATCAGCATATGCCGTCGCTTCCCCCAACACACGCACGTACTTCCAGATAGGTCTCAAGTTAGAAGAAGGGGCATTCCTGGCCTCCCTGTGATTTTTGGACTGACTGAGGCTCCATTTCATTCAATCATCCAATGAATTGTTCTAAGCACCTACTATGTGTTAATTATGGAGGACAGGCTGGTGAGGAAGAGACAGTCCTCGACCTCAGAAGCCTAGATTTCTCAGAACCGGAAGATGCTTTGGGGGAACATTCAGTCAGGACACCGTGTAGATGGGGAAGCTGAGGCTCAGAGGTTATACCCTCGCGGTGTCTGAGACCTTCTGACTCTTTTTTTTTTAGATTTATTTATTTATGCATACAAGAACTGGGGCACAGGCCAGAGGTGTGGGGGGGTGAGAGGATTCACTGGAGACAGAGTGGGGAGCAGAAGAGGCAGATTGACTGAAACATACTGCTCAGGGGAGCAGCGGGCGAGACAGGAGAGGTCTACTGCACCATGTGGGTAGCTCCCTGGCTGGCTGGGGATTGAACTCACTCATGTTACAGTGTTGGATGTCCTGGCTCCCAAATCACCCACCAGCCTCTGCCCCTCCCTCCCCCCACCCTGATGGAGAAAGCAAAGACCCAGGGGGCAGAGCTAAAGGCTCGCAGGCTACCTGGAGGTGCAGCTCCAGGCTCTAGTTTCTCTCTGCCTCAGGCAAATGCGTTATTCCACAGAGTGCCTTGTGGATGCAAACCAGGCACAGGTGAAAGCCAGAGATGACTTAAACTCGAGAGCAACGGAAAGCCTACAAGGTTTTAGATCCCTATTTCCACATCTGTCAGTGTTGTCCTATTTTTAGGGGGTTCACAGTCCATGATTTCTAAGATATTTCACCCTTTAAATTTTCGAATGCCAAATTGCATTCGTTATTTCATAATTCAGGCTTCAGCTGAGTTGAGTGGGAAAGTCTTCTGGAGAAAGCTGCCTTTTACCCCACAGGACCAGAAGTGCCCAAGAAGCTGAGATTAGGTTTTCTTCTCTGGGGCTTTGGGAGCCAGACCCTCCTGGGCGCTGGGGTCTACCTTGTCTGTTCTGCCAGAACAAAAATGGGGGTTGGGTGATGTCTTGAAAGAGGTATCCCGGAGAGGACAAGGCCCAAGGTCGTCATTTGGTGTGTCTGTGAAGTCCTCAGGAGGGAAAACCTTGGGCCAGCGGGAGAGTGTGATAGGAGTGACAGGGGTGTGGTCAGAGCTCTCTGCCCCTGATGAGGAGCAGGACATCTCTGGCTGAGACAAAAGCTTGTTACCAATTTGGCAGCATCTTCTCTGCTCTGGGAAGGAAGGGAGGAGAGGAGCCCCTGACCTGGGAACGTTTGAAGCCAGCTTGGGGCTTACACAGGAACACGTTTGTTGCAAAGATGTGCAGGGAGGGGGTTGGCAGGAGGCCCAGGAAGGCTGAGGCCCTGGGGACCAGGCTGAGGCCATGGGAATGTGGCTGCTCCAACTCAGAATATCTGACTGGGGCAGAGGGAGCCAGGATGAGGGCGATTGTAGTTGGAATGACAGTGACCACCACACAGCTGGGAGCCGAGCCAGACCTCCGGAGAGACCAAAGTCTCCAAACCATTCATATGTCTTTGAACAAATGTTCGGAGCCCTCCTGTGAGCTGGGTTCTGTGGGCTTCTCAGGGCCGAGCAGAGCTGAGAAATGGTTTCTTGTTCACTGGAACAGAGCCCTTCTGCTTGGGTACGAGTGATGTTTCCTTTCTCTTCCTTTGTCCCCCTGCTTACCTCACCTGCACCTCCCTCCAGAAAGGTTCTACAGCCTGCTTCTTCCACAGGACCCCCTCCCGGCCCTCCACGTGCGCTTACACTCAGACACTTCCCTTCCTCACACATACATAACCCTGCACATCTAGCACACAAGCACATGTGTGCTCACTGGCTGCCACGCGCCTGTCCCCTCTCCTGGCTGCAGGCTCTCACCCAGCCCATTCTGATGGCTTCTTAACTGCCATCCTCTCAGCCCTAATCCATGCAGCAGGGATCCTGCAAATCAGGCCCAGCTGGGTCAGGCCTCCCGTGGCTCTGGTGTAAGGACAGTGCCTGGCACTGGTCCTCAAACCCTAATCCAGCTGCAGCTACTCTCCAGCCACAACCCGGCAGTCTTCCTACACCTTGTATTAATATCTCCTACCTCCTGCCTATACTCATGCCCTCCCCGGAATGTGCCCTGGCCCCAGCCTGCTGCGTAGTGGATGGCTGTCTTTGGAGACACACCAACTAGGCTTCTAATCTGACTTCCACTACTTCCTCGGGCTCTTAACTTTTATAAGTCTGTTTCCCCGTCTGCCTGATGAGCGTGCAGATGGAGTGGGGTAAGCTGTGTAAAGTGATGCCCGGCATTTAGTGAACACTCAGAGGATGCAACTGCTATCAGAATAGCGATAATGAGGGGCCGCCCTGGTGGCGCAGGTGGTTGAGCACAGCACTGTGAAGCTGTCCGCAGCCTCTACAGTGCCATTTCGATCCCCGCCGGCCACGGAGCAACCCACATGGCGTGGCAGACCTCTCCTGTCTCGTCTACTAGTCCCCTCAGCAGTGTATTTCAGTCAGTCTGCCTGTTCTGCTCCCCACTCTGTGTCTGGTGAATCCTCTCACCCCCCACACCTCTGGCCTATACCCCAGTTCTTGTATGTATAAATATATAAAAAAAGAATTGCGATAGTAACATTGTGGTTAAAATAACATCATTTTTGCGCTGTTGTTGTATCAACCTTCAAGACTCCTTTCAAATATTCTTTCAACAGCTTTTCCTAATTCCCAGTAAACACACATGCTTTTTTCCAACCCGTACCCATGAATGCCTATTGGTTCTTCTCTTAGAGTCCATGCCCACTGTGCCTGCATCTTTTACACACACCTCCCAATATACCTCTTCAACAGCAAGATCTGTTTGTCTTCCCAGTGCCTGGCTTAGTGCTGGGCACACAGAGAAAGTACAGGGAGCATGTGTGAATGGACTGCGTGGCGGGGAAAGCCCTCTCCCCCTGGGAGGTATTGAAAGGACATTTGTCCCTTAAAACTGGCTCCCTGCTTGTCACTCATACTGGTGAACACCACAGTTTCCCAAGTTGTACGTTCCCTTAAGACCATGCATTATCTCAGTCTGCCCAGAGAGTCTAAAACACTAAGAAGTTGCCCCCATCTGAGGTCTGAGAGATGCTTAAGGGCTGAAATCAATTGAGGGGAGCTGAATCATCACAATGTTTTGATTGTGGGGATTTGAAAAACACCCAGAGAGCAGAAATAAGGTTGGGGGGAGGCAGAGCTGATAAAGTTAAAAAATTCCTTTATAGTTCTGTGCAGATCCTCAGGTTGTCTGAGCTTGAATTAGATTGTGACGTAAAGGGATAATGACGCTGAAACATGTGTTCATTCAGCCCGCCACGTTTATCAAACAGCTACTATGCTAAGTGCTAAAGATCCAGAATGTGCTTCTGTCCCCAAGGATAGTCTGACCAAGGAGGCACACAGCAGTGGTGGGAAGAAAAGGGCCTTGGCCCCCAGGGAATAGGGGGAATGAGGCAAGAAGGAGGGTACCCTGTGTTTCCTGAAACAGACAGACAAGGCCAAGCAAATCCACACATGCCATCCTCACCATCCAGAGCTAGGGCTGATTTTTAGGTGTGAGGCCCAAGGGTCAGGGCCCCATGCCACTTCTACCCCCAAGAGGTAAATACATGCACAATGCTCTCAAGGATCAAACATAATAGGCAAGAGCTGTGCTTTTAAGGAGGTGGTCTACTCAGCAGGGGCAGGGTGCTGGCCACTCTGCCTGGCACTGTGGTCTGGCTGTGGGCTGCATGCTGTGGGCCTGGTCCCTGCTCTCTGGCCCTGGCAACTGCTCCGAGTTTCTGTTTCTACTACTGGCGCTGCTTGTCTGGCCTCTCTTGAATGGGCCTTTGTCAGCAGGCATGTGGAGGAGGCAATTCCATCGCTGGCCTGACTTGCTCACGCCTGCCCAGCCTGCTGGGGCCCGGGCCCAGGGTGCTGTGCAATGCTGTCCGCCATCCAGACTCCCTGGAACCAGACTGAGATCCCTTTGGGGCCTGGGCTCCTGTGCTGGCAGGCGGCAGGCCTGGGTCATGTTCCCTGAGTTGCTCTGGGCAACTTCAGTTCATTGGCCTTCGCTGGAGTTGACCACACGGTACTGCCCTACACACCTGCCCCTCACAGCTGTTGTGAGAAGCCCACGGGTACTGATGGGTGATGCTGTGTAGACTATTACAGTCCGCAGTGACAATGGGGTGGCAGCAAGGCCCTGTGCCCCCTCTGGTGAGCAAGCTTGGGGGTCTTTCCAGGGAGATTTCTAGAAACCAGACCTGTGTGGTTTGTGAATTCTGTTTCCCTTATTTCTTTTCAAGATCAGTTCTTTTCTTCTTCCAGCCATGTTTCTTTTCCCCAGAAATACTTCCACATTAAAGGCAAAGGTGCCTGAGGTGAAAATAACTATTCCTTTGCTATATAATAAAGGAATTTTTTTCCCTTCCTCCTGCTTCAGTGCAGCCAGTGGATTGGCTTTGAGTCATGGGGCCTGCAGACCTGGCCTCCCATCTCGGAAGGGGGGTGCCCACCTCCATGAATGAAGGGTGATGTGCAGAATCCCAGTGACAGGGCTACTCAGGGGGGTCCTCCCAGGCCTAAGGACTCTGTGACAAGAGGGCCCAGTGGGAAGGGCTCACCCTGGAGATGTCAGCAATGATGTTCTGCACCAGAGCACCCTGCCCTACTCTCAGGCTGTCCAGCCACCTATCGGGAAGGATGGGTGGGGCACCCAGGAAAATGACCAAAGCCACTGTGAGCCCCTGGGCCTCCTAGAAAGTCACCACTCTGCCCTCTCATTCCCAGGCTCATTCCTGTGGGCTCACCAGCCTCTCTCTGGAACTTTGTAAGCTGGCCAGTCATTTCAAACTAGGCTATTAAATAGTGTAATTGAAGTTTCATTATTTATTTGCTGGGCATTTAAAATGCAAATCAGGAGGACATACTGCATTTCCTCTGGAGACCAGTGATCCATCAGCGACCTCTGGCTGAATCCAGAGCACTTGTTTTAAAAAGCAACTTTATGTGCTTTTGCTGGCACATAAAGTGGGCTTTGCAGTTCTGACCATAGAAGCCCAGCCCCTGTATGCAGAAGCATCAGGTTCCAGGAACAGGGCACAGGACTCCACATGCTTGCCAGGAAGGTGAGCAGATGTGGAAATGATGACAGAATTTTTAAATGCTTATTATTTTATAATAGAATTTAATTTTTAGGGCAGTTTTAGATTTACAGAAAAATTGAGCAGGTAGTACAGAGTTCCAGCACTCCCTCCACCTCCCATACACAGTCCCACCTATTATTAGTAGCTTATCTTAGTGTGAATGTTATTAGTGTGATACATTTGTTATAACTGGTGAACCAGCATGGCTACATTTTTTTTTTAAGATTTATTTATTTATTTAAACAAGCACTGGGTACAGTCATAAGTGCGGGAGGGTGAGAGAATTCACCAGAGCCAGAGCGGGGAACAGAAGAGGCAGACTGATGAAATACACTGCTGAGGGGAGCAGCGGGCGCAGCAGGAGAGGTCTGTCGCACCATGTGGGACCCTCGCTGGTAGCCGGGGATAGAACCGGTGCTGTAGAGGCTGCGGGCAGCTTCACAGCCCAGCGCTCAACCACTGCGCCACCAGGGGAGGCCCAGCATGGATACATTATTAAAGGCCACCCTGTATTCAGACTTCCTTAGTTTTTACCTCTTGTTCTTTTCTGCTCAGGATCCTCCCCGGACACCACACTGTTTTTTGTTGTCACGGCTCTTCTTCCTCTTGGCTGTGACGTTTCTCAGACAACCTTGTGCTTGGTGACCTTGACAGTGGTCAGAAGGAGGGGTTGGGTCTTTTGTAGGATAGCCCCCGAGTGGGAAGTGTCTGCTGTTTTTTTCATGATTACACTGGGATTCTGGGTGTGGGGAGAAGACCCCAGAGGTCAGGGGCTGGGCCATCCCAGGGGGGTCAAACTGGAGACATGACTCCTCTGTTGTCCGCAGGACTGGGTTCTCAGAACTCCCTCTAGTGCAGCTGTGGGCCTGGCGATTGGAGCTGAGATCTTTACACTCCCCAGACAAGCACGACAGTCTGTCAGCGGGCTCTCACCACCTGTCTGTTTGGCCCCAACTGTGTCAAGTCATGGGCTAGCAAGGACTTTTCAGCTAGGAGAAGCTCACTAAAGAGAGGGTGACGTATGATGTGCTGTATGCCCAGTCACTGCTATGGCAGGGGCAGGTGCCCTGAGGGAGAAGTCTGCGGTCAGCCAGAGACTGGGGCGGGTGAGAAAGGCAAAGAGCATTTCTCACCCCTGGCTGCATGTTCGAGTCAGTGGGGAGAGTCTAAAAATTGCTGCTGCCTTGGCCACACCCTCCAGAGTTGAGAATTTAATGGGGCTCAGTTAATTCTCAAGAATTATCACCATTGTTTTTTGCTGTTATTATTAAAAAGTTCTCCACGTGATCCAAAAGTACAGCCAGATTGAGAACTGTAATAGGGATGAGGAGGGTTTCTAAGTGAAAGAAGCGGAACATAACATGAAGGCGTGGAGGTAGGTGCACAGGTGGCAGGAGACTGGAGTAGACCATCTTAGGTGAATGGGAGAAAACAGTGGAAGGATAGAAAAGGGATTGACTTAGACGCATTAATATGCTAGAATGAAAAGCTCGGTTTTTAAACAATAACTAGGATCCTGAAGCACCAGGAACTAGTTTGGGAGGGAAGGGATCAGAATGCATATGGGCAGATTAGTCACACAGTGATCAATGTCCAGGATAGTTTGGAGGGAGGAGCTTAAAGACGTGGGCAACTACTGTGACATTCTGCAAGCTGACAGCCCAGGGGAGCAATAGCTTCTGGAACCATGGTGGAAGAGAAAGACCGGATTACAGAGCAATGCTGGAGTAAGCATGGCTGGGTCTTTGATAAATATGGAGACTGAGCTGGGGAGAAACCCTGTCTAGTCAGATTGTCAGCTCCATGAGGCCGGACTGGGGTGCTGAGGCTCCTCAGTGGAGAGCTAAGTTCCTGGACAACGCAGGCCATCACTAAATATTTGCTAATTTGGTTACCCATTCTTTCCAATATTACTGGTTCCAAAATTACCCTCCTTTCTCCACCTGAAGCAGGCCGGTCTCAGCCCTTTGGAGAGCAATCTGATTAAATAACTCAGGCCAAGATATAAATGACTGTTTAGGTTGGACATATTTTAAAAGAAATCTTTGGTGAAAAAAATCTCTCCTTGGGACAATGTTGTGGGTGTGGCTGTATGTTTGAGTGGGAACCATCCAGATTTCAGTTCTACTCCCTAATTTAATTCTATCTTACCAGGAAAAAAGGGGGGTTGGTTTTATAGCCTGGCAGCCCCTTTGGCAAAGCTGCTGGTTGCCAGACTGGTAGTTCTGTTGGCAACCCCCTTGAGCTGAGTGCTGATGGACAGATCACCTCCTGCCGACCTGGGCCACTGGCCAGCTCCCGGCTGGAGTGCTCTACGTGCTGCTGGGCAGAGAGCAGCGGGGGCCCAGCAGCTGCTTCGAGGTGGGTGGGGGCTGAGAGGGAACAAGGAGGGTCTGTGCTGAGCTCAGCTGGTAGGAGGCTGCGCACCTGTGAACAGCTGGGGTCTGGCGAGGACTGCAGGCTGTGCCAGGCCCCCCTCCCTTTCCTCTGGGGAGAGGACTCTGGGGTCCCTGCCTTACACTAACATCATTTATAATGGACAGAGCAGAGTTGGGCAGGATTATGTGATGTCACATGAAGCTGACTTCATTTGGGTTGTTCTCATGGTGGTTTTTGTCCCTGTGGGAGCCCCGTGGGGTCTTCAGTTAGACCAGCCTTTCCCTTTCCCTTGGTTTCCTCAACTTGCCTTGTTGCTAGGGAGGCAGAGTTAGGAGGCCAGTCATGCCTTTGTTAGTGGTGGGACCTTGGGCAAGTACAGCTCAGAACCTCTCATTTTTTAGTCCTTAAAATGCTGAACCCACCATCACACGTGGCTACGGTGTCTTCCAAATGTTTCGGGTTATCAGCATTACGTCAGCATTCCCTTCAGCCACCAGGGCAGGGGACAGGCGCAGGTAAGAGGGAGCACACAAAACACAGCTGCTCCCCCTTTCTCTTCTGACAGCCACAGGAACCAAGGGGCCAGGGCTAAAGTGGACTGGAGTGTCTCTGTTCTAATACATCTTGCCCCTAAACCTCCCAAGAAGGCAGGAGAATTAGGGCACCTTCAACACAGCACCCCCGTCTATAGAAGTCCACTTGGCTCTGCCTCTGCACCTCAGGGCCCAGCCCTCTTGGAGAGGCACACTGATGGGGGCCCAGGTGGGACTCCCTCAGAAGGCGACACTGCAGCCTGAGCCATTGGGCCTGGGTAGGGACTAGAAACAAGGGGCAGCTGCCTGGGAAGGTGGGTCTGCCCAGGAGCCCTCTCCTGGGATGTGGGGGTAGGGGCTGGAGTTGGGCTTACCACAGGAAGGCTGCCTACCTTTCTTCCACCAGCTGGAGGGTAGGCTGAGCTGGCCGATGTGTAGAATCCCGCTCTCCCTCACCAAGGGACCTTTCTTTTCCTGCCTCTATTACTTTTCCTGTGAAATGGGTTGGGTGGTGATATGTACTGCTTGGCTCTTGTTAGGTATAAATATTTAAAGCACAAAGAATATTGCCTGATCTGTGTTCTTTGTTGTAATGATTATTATCAACTCTCATATCCAATCCAGACCCTTAGACTGGGCTTCAAATATGGACTTTCCAACTCAGAATTTTCTGATCCTCTTTTTTATTTAAAGATTTATTTATTTATGCATGCAGGAACAGGGGTACAGGCCAGAGTTGTGGGGGTGGGGGGGAGGGGAGAGGATTCACCAGAGACAGAGTGAGGAACAGAACAGGCAAATGTCTTTCAAGCAGTGTCTTTCAAGACACTGCTGAGGAGAGCAGAGGGTGAGTCAGGAGAGGTCTGCTGCACCATGTGGGTAGCTCCCTGGCCGGGGATCGAACTTGTGCTGCAGTGGCTGTGGATAGCTTCATAGATTGCGTTTTAGCCACTTGTGCCACCAGGGAGGCCTTTTCTGATCCTCTTATTTCTTTCTATGGAGTCCGTAGGGCTCTTATGTTCCAGGCAGACCTCTGTCCCCACCTCCAGCTCCCAATTGCCAGCTTATTCCTCTAGCCTCATTGCTCTCTACCACCTGAAAGACTCACCTGTCTTTCTTCCACCTTCTGCTCACACTCCCTGGTCCAGGCTGCTGCCCCAGGATGTGCAGTGTGGGTGGGGGTTGGGCTGCAAGGAGCTCTAACCCAGAAGGTACCTCGGCAGGAGGCTTGGGGCTCCAAGGGCACCCTGACTGCGGTGGATGGACCTAGGAGGTGGGTGGATGGCCCGGCCTGGATCTAGCAGCATTGCATAGAGGCTTTAATAGTCCAGGAGGCGTTAGCTGTATCATGCAGCTATGTGAATAAAGGAAATTTTTTAAACAACCTCCAAGAGGGGCCAGAGATGAAAAATCCACCCTCCATTTTATAAAGACAGAGGCTGAAACTTGGTCATGGCTCTGAGTCACAGTGGCTGGAGAGCTCCAGGATCTGAGAAGTTGGGCATTTGAGGCTACAGTGTGGGCCTCACCCCTGTGCTCGGACATGAGGTACAGAGGCCTGATACAGAGGAGGGCAGGACTCAGCCAGGAAGGACCAGAGCCAAGCTGGACACTGAAGGTCAAGTAGATGCTGTCCTTTTGTTCTTTGCTTTCTTTTTGCTCCAGTACATACCATCCCAAGAGAACTTTAAGCCAGAGCAGCTAAGGTGGGAAGCAGAAAGGCAGTGACAGTTTGGAGACGAGAAGGGCAGCTGTGTGAGTGAGGAGGTGTTGTGAGGCCAGGGACGCCTGGTTGCCCGGTGTGGCTGGAGTAACTAGGAGACAGTGGGGGCGGGTGGGGTGCCAGAAAAGGTCAAGGAGAACAATCCAGCCTTTCTGGCATGGAGGCATTGTGATGCCTACATTCTCATAGAACTAAAACATGTTCCAAAGCCAAGTCATGGGTTTGGGCATTATCAGCTGGTTTGTGCTAACCCCTGCCCCAAACCCCATTCATCAGCATGTGGAATTGACCCCGATGGCTCCCCTCATAACAGAACCCAAGGCTAAGGAGACCCTAAGAGACCACTGGGGCCCATCCTCTGTCTCCAGAAAATCCCTGCTTAATAACAAATAGATCAGGCTACCCTCTCCCCACTTTGCTCTCAAACAGTGAGACTTAGTAACGTCTCAGGAATAGAAAGAATCCACCTCTCTGCCAGGAAATCAGACTGATTTATCCATGCTAATATTTTGTCCTGGTCTTCTCTGATTTTCAGAAAAGGCCTGACCTTCTAAGATCTAAAGCACCAGTGCCCAACATACCCACACAGCACAGGGGGATGCTTGGAAAGGACTTTCTGAGCTTCTCTTAGCCCCCCCTGTCAAGAAAGTAGGAGCCGGACTCCATGCCTTCTGAAGGCCCTTTCTATTTTTTTTCCTCTTTCTTTTTTCATTTTTTTATATTAATTTTTTTCATTTTTTACATCTGTTCATTTTTAAACAATATTTGCTTCCCCCGCCCCCTCAGGTGTAGCCCCCATAGAGTTTCCTTCCCCAATGCACCTGTGCACCATCACCTCAGTCCCCTGTGCTCCTCCCTCCCTCCCTCTCATCCCTCTCCACCACCTCCCCTGCAGGATGTCTCTGATTTATAGTTGCCTGTTTTTGCTTTGTTGTGTTTTGTACTGTTATTATTTTTTTACACTGATGTCTTGTTGGGCTTCCCTATATTCCTGCTATAAGTGAAACCATCCGATATTTTTCTTTTTCCTTCTGGCTTATTTCACTGAGCATAATTCCTTCTAGTGCCATCCACATTGCTATGAATGGCATGAGTTTATCTTTTTTGATTGCTGAATAATATTACATTGTGTATATATGCCACATTGAAGGACCTTTCTAGACAGTTCTATCACTTTCCTCCCCAGAAGCCAGTGCTGCCCCTGACATCCCTGGTCAAAGGTCATCTTCTAATGGAGAGCACAGGGGCCTGTGAGGTGCTGCCTGCTATCCTCTCAGTGCCCTGGTGACCCTCCTTTCTTCTCTGGCTGCCCGAGTCTCTCAGACCTCGCTCAGCCTGCCCTGCTGCCCCTCACAGCCACTCCTCTCCTCGGACCCTGGCCTGCCCACCAGCCCGTCTCTGTGTGTGGGAACAGTGTGTGGGAGGTGTGACCTTGAGCCCAGCTCTGCCCTTGGCCTACTGGATGAATTGGCTGCAGCACTTCTGTGTGGGCCTCAGTTTCCTCAAATAAAAAGTAAGCACTTTTAGCTCAATTATTCTAACTCACTCTGGCATTTTGGGATTCCAACTCCCAGCTGGTCAGCCTCACATCTTAGGTATATCCTGTGTATATACAGAGGAGTCTTCTTTTAACAGCTTCTTGTCCCAAAGATTTGGATCTATCCTAGGTTAAACCATGTCCTTCGGGCACACAGTAACAGCCTGGGCTTGCCAATCACCCTAAACAATGGGGCGCAGGCATTCTGCCACCCCATAGAAGGGCCATTTCCAGCTGGTCCTGTCTGGAGGGAGGAGGCTCATCTTTTGGGGGGATTCTGCCAGGACCCAGGCCTCTGGGCATGTTTTCAATGAGCTGAGCCTGAAGGAAGGCAAGCAGGTAGGCTGCAAGGGAAGGGGAGCGAGGCTTTGGGGCTGGGGAGGCATAATGAAGCACCATAGTAATTTGGAGCCTGTGATTTTGAAGGGAGGTTGTTTCTGAGTTATTTTCACAATAGAAATGATATTCTGATCTACCTCATTGCTGCCTAGAATCCAACATAATATAGTATGTTGCTCTGTTCCCAATCAGTGGCTTCTCTTTTGGAGCTACTTTTACCCAGCAGTTATGTGAAATGATGTGACTCAGTATGGGAAGATAATTGCCGGAGAAACTCTCTGATTGCTCTCTCCTGCACATGCAGAGATATGTGTGTACATGGCAAGGAGATCAGGAGGAAAATTAACACGGAAGTGCTGCTGCCTCCTGAAATGTCAGCCATTTACCAATGTAGCGATAAGTGAGAACATGGAAGATGAAGAAAAATGAGTGTAAACCAAATTCTTTCTCATGAGATGCTATAAGGAAAGCAAAATGTGGATGGGCCCATTTTCCAGATGGGGAGATGGCTCAGTGATCTAGAGGTTGAGAGTTGGGGAACAATAGACTGAGGAGGCTCAGGACTCCCCCTTCTACCAGTGCTGACTTCTCTAGAAATCTGCGCCAGGGACCCGGGCCTCAGGCAGGTCCCTGTGCCTCTGATGAGGATGCCCCCGGCATGCACATGGAGGCTAGTGTTGTGTTCCTGAACCCCCACCCCCAGCTCCTCCCGGCTCCACCTTGGGTCCTGCTCTCTCTTTTCCAGTGATCCCTCCTTCCCTTGCATCTCCAAAGATGGCCTGGAAATAAGACCGGTCACTCCCACCCCCTCCTAAACATACCCCCTCTCCTTTCTGGGAGAAAGGAATGTAATAGCTGGCGGGTGGGGGACACAGAGGGGTGTTGAGTGGGGGGGGGGAGGACCAGATAGAGTGTCCTGGGGGAGCAGTAAGAGAAGGCACTCTGTGTTCCATCAGAGGCTCTGTGTGTGCACTTGATCACTGGGTTCAGGGGCATTGCCAGTGATTCCACCACCACGATTTAAAAAAAATAAATTTAGGGACCAAAAAGCACCACGGGAGGCCTGTGCTGAGGAGTGGCTGGGCGGCAGCTTAAAGAAGTGGGGTGTTTGTCACTCTCCAAATCTTTAACAGTATTACTTGCAGCACACTGTAACCTGATCAGAAATGTTTTCTTCAGAATACAAAAATCAGGCCTTTATTCCTCTAGCCTGGCATTCTAGTCTCCACAGTCTGACCCCAATTCTCTGACAAGAATTCTCACCACTCACTCGCTTCTGCTTCTTCAATTTTGGGGAAGGTGTCGTACTCTAAAATGGCAAATACTTGGGAGATTGCTGTATGGCCCTGCCCTCTTCCAAGTGGATGCGCCCTCTCTGCTGGCCCTCATTCAGACTCCTTCTGAGGAGCCCCCTCAGGCAGCCACTATTGAATGGAAAGCCTGAAGATTGTACTTGATTGTTTGTGTCTCTGCTTCCCAATTTCTCGTCCTTTGCTTGTGCTGTTTCCTCTGCGAAAATGTCCTTCCTTCTCTCTCTTCTTACTGCTGCTCCTCAAAATCCTATCCTGTGTTCACGGTTCAGTTGAAATGTCTCTGTGAAGGACCCAAGTGCCCTGTTATATTCCTTGCTCCTCTCTCCTTGCCCAACAGCTTCCTCTTTCATGTGGTCTCTCCCCATTGTGGAGCTTTCTTCACATTCGCTGTATCTGCTGATATGTCAGAGCCCTCTGCTTCTAAACCCTGCTCCTTTGGAAGATGATTTGTATCTTGTTCATCTATTTAGCTCTTGCAGAACTTAGAATAAATATAACTCTAGAATTATCTCTAAGAATTCATTGTGTGTAGTAGGGTTGACTTGAACTTGAGCATTCTGTGGAGGTGATGTGGGGGAGCTGAAAGGAAGCACAGCAACTAGTGGGCTGGAAACTTTGACATGAGCCTTTCCTACTCCCAACTAGCTAGAACTGGTCAAGGGGCCACTGTGGGAACCCTGGCCCATATGTCCTCCACGCTTCCTCCTTGCATCCAATACTCACATCAAGGCTCCTAGAATAAGAAGATTTTTATTGTCTAGTTCTACCTTCCTTCCAGGTCCTAAGTCAGGTCTCCCCACTGGCTGAGCAAAGAACATATGTAACTTGGAGATGAGACTTAGTCTGAGAAATAGCAGTGAACTTGACTTTCTCCCTCAGCCTGTCCCAAATCAAAATAAGATCAAGCCATAAAGATTTTATAAACAATAGGTGCTCAATCTTATTTTATTTCATACTTTTAAAAAAGTATTTAGGATAGTAGGATTGGCTGACAGTATACTGGAGGGACTTTCTACTAAAAAAAAAAAAAAAAAAAGAAAAAGAAACAAAAAACCAAAACACAAAAACTGAGCCCAGATAAACCAGATTTATTATTACAGTGCTTGGCTCATAAGTAAGGAGATCATCTAATCCCTGGTCGATATTCTTCCCAAACCAGGGACTACCTGAAAACTGAAAACTCTACAGGCCTCTGAGATAAAACTAACACTCGATTATGTGACATGTAATCAGAACCTAATCAGAGCTGCTTTTAGAATGAATGAATTGACATTCTGAATTCTGGGGACTTAATAAGCTTTGGGCCCCCAAAATTTAGGAACCAAACCAGAGATTCTACGTCCAGGACTCATGAGAGGAACTAAAATGATACAAGGTTGATATCTGCTGCCCTTGGACTCCATGAAAAAAAAACACATCCTCTCAAGGAAAGCATTTATTCCAGGACTATTTCCCACAGATTAAAAACTAGCAAATATGATCTCACAATCAGAGGTGGCCAAGCAGAGGCAAAACCAAGACACCATGACTGACAAGCCCAGAAACAACAAATAGATTTTGACATACACCTCCCGCCCCAGGCACACACACACACACAAGGATTTAAGATTTTGGAATTATCAGATAAAGAATATTAAGTAACTGTGTGGGAAATGTTGGAAGGAAAAAAACAGGATCCAAAAAAGGTGCAGGCAACACAGACTAAGAAAAATGACCAGGTAATTCCAAAAAGAACCAAATAAAACATTTAGAAATAAATCATATAATCGCTGAAATAGAAAATGAAATGGATATGTTGACTAATGGATTAAATATAATTTGAAAAAGAATCAGTAAATGGAAAATGAATCTGAAACAATTACTCAGAATGCAGCGCAGAGAAACGTGGAAGTAGAGAATGAAAGAGCAGTTAAGCAATATGGAAAGTAGAATGAGGACATCTGACATTTTCACAGTTTCAGAAGAGAAAGTTGAAGGGAGGAGAAGCAATATCTGAAGAGAGAATGGCTGAGTGTTTTTCAAAATTGATAAAAAGGATGAATCCGTGGGTAAAGGAAACACATCAGAATACACAGAAATAAATCCACATTTGACAATAAACAGCAGATTCTCCAGCAGCAATATTGGGAATCAGAAAGCAGTGGAATCACATCTCCAAAGTGCTGAGCCAAAATAATTATCAACCTAAAACCAAGTCCGTGGCCACACTACCTTTCAGGGATAGGGTTACATTAGTGTTCTACTGGTGCCTAATACTACCACAAAATGCCACTGGACACACACTTGTCACTTCATGGTTTCTGTAGGTCAGAAGCCCAGCACAGCTTACCTGGGCTCTTCTCTGATTAGAATTGTGGCCTAATCAGAGGATCAACTAGGGGAAAATCTACTTCCAGACTCCCGCAGATTGTTGGCAGAACTTATGTCCTTTAGTGGGAGAAATGAAGTGCCTGTTCTCTTGCTGGCTGTTGATGAGGGGCGGCTCTCAGCTGCTGGAGCTTCCCATAATTCCTCCCCATAGACCCTCCCATAATATGACTGCTCACCTTCAAGCTAGCGAGGGAGAGCCACGGTTGAGCCTTATCTAAGAAAACTCAATCATGTGTGTGACATCCTATCACCTTTGTCATGTTCTGTTTGTTAGAAGCCAGTCCCAGCTCCTGTCTCCAGTCAGGGACTACATAAAGACTTGAATACTAAGGGTTGGAATTATTGGAATACAAACAGTTGACAGGACTCTGAATAGGTTTTTGTTAAAGAAAATTCTAAAAGAATTTTAAGGAACTTAAGGAAAATGGCTTGAAGGGTAACAGATTCAGAAAGCATCACCAACAAATCAGAAGGCACATAGGGTGTATGAGTTACCACACACTCAGCAGCTTCAATTAAAACAGCAGACACTATCACCTTGCAGTTTCTGAGGGTCAGGAGATGGAGGAGCAGCTTAACCGGGTGACCCTTCTTGGGGTCCTCAAGGAAGTTGCAGTCAAGCTGTCTGCAGGGTGGCAACCACAGGACACTGGGCCCCTGCGCCTGAGCTGACTCACATGTGTGCCTTGTCCTGGGCTGCTGGAATTTTCTTAAGACAGGGAAGTAACTTTTCCCAGAGCAAGCACTGGGGAGGGGAGGTGGGGAGGGGCCTGAGAAGGAAGAACAATAGCAAGGAAAGGAAGTTATGCTTTTTACCATCTAATGTTGGAAATAGCTTCAGCTCTGCCATATTGTCTTGGTCACACAGACTCACCCTTGTGTATTGTGGGAGGGGACACTACAAGGATGTAGAGACAGGAGGTATTGGGGGCTCTCTTGAAGGCTGGCTACTGCATGCATGGGCAAATCAAAGCAAACATTATTTCCATGAAATGTAATTTAATCCTATTTCATAGGATTAAGAAAACTGCAAGTGTGTACAATAGCAGCATGTATCAATATATCAGGAAGGGGGTCATTTGTACTATTGTTGTTTTCTAGAAGGGTATGATACCGAATAGCTAGTATACCTTTTAACTTCAGGATGTTTGAGTCTGTTAAATCAAATACTTAAGTCTGTTCAAGCTGCTGTAACAGAATAGCATAGATTGGGAGGTTTATAAAGAACATGATGTGTTTCTCACAGTTCTGGGGCCTGGGAAGTCCAAGGTCAAAGTGCTGGCGGATTCAGTGTCTAATGGGGGCTGGATTCTTGTTTCATAGACAGCTGTTTTTCTCACTGTGTCAATGGCAAAAGAGAGGAGGGAGCACTCGGGTCCCTTTTATAAGGGCACTAATCCCATTCATGAGGGCTCCCCTCTTCTGACTTAATCACCCCCCAAAATCTCTGCTTCCTAAATGTCACATTGAGAGTAAAGTTTCAACACATGAATTTTGGGGAATGTGAACATTTAGCCTATAGCAGATGCGTACAGCAAAATTTCAATGACTGAAGACTAGAAATGGCTTGTGTACCTTCTCAACCACTAGGGGGAGGAAGTGAGTAAGAAAAACAGTTCTAGGGCCTCCCCCGGTGGCTCAGCGGTTGAGCGCTGGGTTGCGAAGCTGCCCTGCAGCCTCTGCGGCGCTGGTTCGATCCCTGGCCGCCAGGCGAGGGCCCCACATGACGCGCAGACCTCTCCTGCCGCCCGCTGATCCCCTCAGCAGTGTATTTCGGTCCTTCTGCCTGCTCTGCTCCCCGCTCTGACTCTGGTGAATTCTCTCACCCTCCCGCGCTTCTGACTGTACCCGGTGCTTGTACAAATAAATAAATTAATTAAAAAAAAAACAAAAACAATGTTTAAAAAAAAAAGAAAGAAAAACAGTTCTCGCCATGAAAAGTAATTTTGTGAGGTATGGAGGTGTGATGTTGTGGTAATCATCACACAGTACATATGTACATCAAAACAGCATGTTTCTTTTAAAAATTTTTTTGTGTAGAATGGGGGTACAGGCCAGAAGTGCAGGGGTAAGAGGGTTCACCAGAGACAGAGTGGGGAGCAGGACAGGCTGATTTACTGAAATACACTGCTGAGGGGAGCAGCCAGGAGACAGGAGAGGTCTGCTGCACCATGTGGGTCAGCTCCCTGGGTGGGGAGCAAACTCAGGCCATAGCCATGATAGTGATAAGATTTAACCCCTAGGCCACTGGTGTCGCCTGCTTAAGGTACTTGTTTATGGGTATTTAACTTATTGATGTGTTTTATTATATGTATTACATGTAAACAATTAATGTAAAACTTAAAGGAAATACAAATATTGAATGAGATAGCATTAAAAGCAAATCCCTGCTTTTGATAATTGCTTCCTGAATTGACTTCTGGAGTCTGAGGAGGCAGCTGTTCTGACCTCTGGTGGGTGAGTAGTGAAGGGCAGCTGGGGAGCTGCTTGCTAGGGCCAGGAAAGTAAGAGGGTGTGATCTCAGAGCCAGCATGGCCACTGGCCACTGGCTCAGAGGTCAGGCCACCCGCAGTCTCTCCTCACCAGAAAAAGGAAATAGCTGTGGGTGTTCCTAGTTCTGCTGTCTTTCCCCTTTCTCCTCCCTGGCTCTTTGCCATACTCCTATCAGCCCAGGAATGAAGACAGTCACTGGGAGGGACCCCCTGGCCCTGCCTTCTGCCTCTATCCACGTGGCCCATCCTGGGCCTGGACCCCACAGGCCCCAAGGACTTGACATTTTGAGCAGAAACCTCAGGCTTCCTTTGGAGACACCCAGTGCTGATGCTTAGAGAACCAGTCTCTGGGCTTGTGTTGTTTGATCAATCCTCTGATCTGGAGGATTATGAACTAAAGACTTGGCTCTGACACTTAAGAAGGGAGAGTGTGCGGAGTAACTTGGGGGAGAGCTGTCAGCATTGCAGGCTTTACATAGAAACAGCAAGGTCTTGCCCCACCCAGCTGGTCAGACTAGGGGGCACTGGTTTACCTGTCCCATTTAATCTGACATAGAGAACTCCCAAGTGGGTGTTGGCGGTGGGAAACCAGACTAGGAAGTCACAGACTTGTTAGTGAACTAGAGATCCAGGGTGGTCTGGAGAGGACACAGGTAAGGACATCTGTAAAGCCGATGAGGTTTTATGGCTTTCCCAGCGAGGCAGCATGGTGGAGGAGTTCCTGAGTTGGCTTCGGGGTTAGGCTGTGCTGCTCACTAGCTTGAGATCATTTAACCTCACCAAGCTTCAGCTTCTACAGCTGCAAAAATGATTCTATTAATTCTATTAATTCAGTTGTATTCGTTGAATTCATGCGTGAAGCAGGCTGAAGCAGGCTGAACAGAGCGCTAGCTGCTTTGTTAGTTATGGAGATAACTTAGCACATGGAGAGAGCTGAGGGTGGACCTGGGAATTTAATTGGGTCCCTGGTTAGGCTGAGGTCTGAGTGTGGAGTTTCCCATGCAGAGAATCATGTTTTCCTCCCTCTGTCCCCAGACGCCATGGAGGTGGTGCTGATCTTTCTATGCAGCCTGCTGGCCCCTGTGGTCCTGGTCAGTGGTAAGTACCCTTCTAGAACCTGGCTGGACAAGATGGCAGCCACAGCACTTCCTGGTAGAAGGGTCTGCCCCTTCCTTTGGGATGCTAGAGTTGGGGGGCTCTCTTAGGTTCTTCACGTCCGATCACAACTCCCACCCATGAGTCAGCAGAGAAAGTCCTAGAAGGTGGCAGCTATTCACAGACCCTAACCCAGTCTGCCCACCTCTCCCTACAGGCTCAGCAAGTTCTCCCTTTATTTATTTTAAAATATTATTTTTAATCAAGGTAATGTTGGTTTATAACACCATATATGTTTTAGAGATACAGGTCCACACTTCTCCAAACGTATGTTATCACACCACCAAAGCACTCCACCACAGTCAGTGGGCCCCCTCCTTCCTCCTACCATGCCCTTCTGTGAGCCTCATTTCTGCAGTCAGGTTTCAAGGGTTTGTTTGGGTTTGATTTTGTCTGTTTCTTTACTTTGTTTCTTTATATTCCACATATGAGTAAGATCATCTGGTATTTTCTCTCTTTCTGATTTATTCCAGTAGCATAAGCCTTTCACCATGTTGCCATAAATGGCAGAACCTCTTCTTTCATAGCTGAGTAGTAGTCCACTGTGCATCTACACCACATCTTGATCCACTCCCCCACCACTGCACACTTGGGCTGTTCCAGCAGGGTCTGCCTGTAATCCTCAAGCCTGCCAGACCGCTGTAGACTCTTGGTCTGAATCTTGGAAACCAGACTAGCACATCAGTCTCTGGACTCTGGCCTCCTGCAAGTCATGCGCCCTTCTTTGGTCTCAGTTTCCTCATCTTAACAAGAGGATAATAGCCCCTGCCTTATAGGGATGACACAAGAATAAGAGGCAATACATGCAGATGTGCTGTGAATGCAGAATCCTCCTGGAGCCCTGAGCTGCACCTGCCTTGGGTCCTCAGTTTGACCCTAGCAGGCAGGCTCACCTTCTCTGCTTCTCCAGGTGTCTCTTTAATGAACCCTGCTTCCCAGCAACCCCTTTGTGGGGAGTGAAGCCTGTGAGGCAGGTAAAATATTTGAGGGCCAGGATGTGGTACTGTCATCCTCTTGACCATGCTTGCTTCTTTTGGCAGCAGCTGAGCAGGAAAAAGAAAAGGACCCATTTCATTATGGTGAGTGTTTGCATAACTCTGAGTGGGGAGGCAGGAGGCACAGCCCTGCCCAGAGGAGGGACGGATGCGCTGGCCCTGGCCCTTCCCTCTCTCACCCTTGTTTCTTCAACAGATTACCAGACTCTGAGAATTGGGGGATTGGTGTTTGCTGTGGTCCTCTTCTTGGTGGGGATCCTCCTTATCCTAAGTAAGTTTGTTTCTTTGTTCACTGCTCAGCCTAAGGAGAACTGTGTAGGAGCCTGCTGTTGTCTCTCTCCCAGGACGGGCTGGAGACTGTGTCCCTGTTATCTTCAGGACTTAATACAGTGCTGCGCATGTAGTTAGTGCTCAGTAATCTACCAGCAAAGCATGAACAAAATAAGTGCTTGATGTAAACACAGATAAGGGCAGTGTAGCTGTCCTGGTGCTGCATCCTGTAGGGCAGACGTGGGGGAGTCACTGGAGATGGGAGACAGGCTGTCCTTAGGTGCTCCTAAGTCTGGTCTACATGGAGCTCTCCGTACTCCCATGATCAAGCCAACTGTGGTGTAGACATCCAAGCTGTTGAATTTGAACCTTGGTCTCAGAGGAATGCTGTTCCAACCTAGGATGGCTGTATATAGCTGTGCATGCTGTGTATGCTCAGGGGTGGTGGGGGGTGGTTACTTTTGTGGTCCCATAGTCTGCACAGACTCACAGGGCAGCCCTGCTGTGGCCAAGCTAGGAGCATGACCTTGAGCTTGAGCCTAGAGCATGACCTCAGATGGTTTCTGTGTGTTTCAGGTCGCAGATGCAAGTGCAATTTCAATCAGAAGCCACGGTAAGGATGCCAAGGCTGTGGACATCTGAGGTGACACTAGGAGGGAACAGGGAGGGGACCCCCCCTGGTGTGTGACCCCAAATGAATATTCTTTGAGATTTTTGTCTCAGAAAAAGGCTGTATGTTGGGGGCAAGTTAGAAGCTTTGAAGATTGCCAGGCAGACTTTGGGGCAAAAGGAGGGATCTAAACACTGAGGGTTAGCTCACTCTTTTCTCTTCTGATGTATATGGGGGTAGGGCTGGGATAGAAGGTGCTGGAATCTTGTCTGGAGGTCCTGGAGATAGCCAAGCTGGTGAGAGGGGAAGTGGAGGCCTCAGGGTCTCTCTCTAGATGTGTGACACCATCCCTGCCTGTCCCTGATTCATGAGGCTCTTTGAACTGAGTAGACATTTGAGTTTCCTTTCATTTACCTTCTGCCCACATAAAGGGCACACCCCATTAGCCTACTACAGTAACTATGGGTAGCTCAGCACCTCAGAAATCCAAAGTCTGGGGGTAGGACCCAACCCAAGCCCTCAGGTGGCCCTAGGCCCTCTTAGATCTCATAGAGGATGACATTGACCCATGCCTGGGAGTCCCTGGACTCTGCCCCTGCAGTAGCAACTTCTCCTCCCATCCCCCTCACCCTCTAGCCCAGATGACTCAGAGGAGATGGATGGAGGTGGCTGTGCAGCAGCAGGGAGCATGGCAAGGCCCTCTGGGTTTGCCTGCAGCCCTCTGACAGGCTTGCATCTCTTCCTCTTGCAGGGCCCCTGGGGACGAGGAGGCCCAGGTGGAAAATCTCATCACCGCCAACGGTACCTGTCGGGACTTTCTGCCCAAGTGGAAGGGAGGGAATGAGCAAGCAGCCCCATCTGGCTAGGGAGGGATGCTTACCAGATATGCTGGCCTCCCAAGCTGCTGCATGCTCTAGAGTGCCAGGAGAGGGGTGTCCAGGGCCCCCATGAAGCTTTGCCCCCCGCCTACGTCTACCAAACAGACCTGACATTTGCTGTGTGTTGGATGCCACACACAGGTCCTTGTAGTGAGCACAGCCCCACGAGGTGGGAGCACTAGCTGCATGTACCAGCAAGGGGCTGGGAAAAGTGGAGGAGCCTGCCAAGTTCCTAAAACCTGCAGGTCACTTGCATCAGGTCTATCTGACTTGAAATCCCACTCAAGTCCCCCTTTTGCTTTTTGGGGTCAGGCTCCCCCAGAGTCAGGCACAAGTTGCAATGGGTGAAGGGTCTATGTACTGCAATCCCTTCTAATTTTCTTTCCAGCAACAGAGCCCCAGAAGGCAGAGAACTGAGGTGCTGCCCTCAGGTGGGAAGGTAGGAGGCTGCGGGTCTTCCTCGGCTCTCACTGGGGTCTGGCGGGGAGTCGCTGGGGAGAATTTGCAGTGGGCACAGGTTTTATTACGAGCCACATGGTGAGCAGTCTTGTGTATGAAAGAAGCGATGAGACGGACCCAAACATCCATGCAAGGTGCACCCCACATGCGTGCAGTAAGCAGTTGGAAAGGGGCCTCCGATACATGGCAAAGGTCAGGTTAACAGGATGTCACCTTGACTGTATGTGGGCACAATTTAGGAGAATCAGTGAAATACTCCCAAAGCATAAAGGAAGTGGTTTCCCCTGATAATACAGAAAGTACCTGGGGCCACTTTTTAACTAAATTAACAACTTTGTTATGAAACTTTTTAGCCCTACGTAGAAGTGGGGAGGATATTAACAACTTCCCTACCCCCATATTACTGTTATCAGTTCCCAGTATCTACTAAGGGGACTGACTTTAGTATCTGTTTTCATTGTTTATTGTAGGGATATAGGAAATTAGTAATTGTTAAAAGCTTTGCAGTTTTCAAAGGGCTTTCCCTGTCCACCCCCCTTCCCCCCATGAACTCACTCGAATCTGTCACAAGTAGGCTGGGAGGGGGTTAGCCCCATTTTATAGATGAAGAAACTGAGGCCAGTGACTAGCCACACAGGTAGTAGGTTCAGGATGGAACTTAAACTTGGGACTTTGTAGCTCACTGCCATTTTCACTGCCCCTGTCTGCTTCTGTCCATCCCACGTGTGACAAACCCTGGAATAGATTGGGGTGAGGGGGTAGGGTCAGTCTGCTGTCAGCTCACTTTTGTCCTTTTTCTCATACAAACAGGTCTAACAGACAGGTATATAACTGTATCCTAAATAGTAAGCGAGAAGAGATTTCTGGCTCTAAAACACCCGATAGCCCAGCCTTCACTGTGAATGTCACTACAAGGTCTACTTATGTAGCATTTTAGTTATTTCCTGAGGTCTTTCCTGAGTCTCAGGGCTGTCAGCAACTACTAGGGATATTGGGGCACTGGGGGAACCACCCCCACCCCATCTGGGTCTTTCTAAGGCTGAATGGATGGACAAATTATCATCAGATAGATAAGTATATGAAAAGGTCAAAATTGAATAACATGTATGAAGAACTCACGTGGCTGTAAGTTCTAAAGCATAATGGAGCAGACTGGGGCTGTTTAACATGTGTTTAAGGACCTGGGCATCACAGAGAGAGGGGACTTTACATGACTGACAAGGAGGGGTACCTCATCCAGGACATGTTCACTGATAAACCTACAACTGGATGAGACCCTTCCCCCAAACTACATTTTTCTAGGTCATAAAGGGGGGAGCAGGATGGCTTCTTAGGAAAAGAGCCGAGGCTTAGGACAAGATAACTTCTTCTTCTACTAGGTAAGGGTGAAGGACTCAGGCAAGGACTGAAGCTTCTCCTCGCCTTCGGGAGCTCACTGCTCTTCCTTAGCTCAAAATACTCTACAGGCCAAAGTGGGACACCTTGAGGACACCAGTTCTGAGAATCTTAGGGTGATCTGATTTTCAGCAGAAACCCACCCTGGGTTTGACCATTCCCAGCCCGCCGAGAGCACCCTCCCCTGGGAACCACCCTACCCTGTGCCTCCTCTCCTTTCCCTGTGTGCCAGGCTTAGTCTCTGTGCTTACCAGGAGCCTGGCACTTAGCGTGGGTCTCATGCATGAGTTTTTGTGGGCAGAGGGGGTGTGCTGAGCGCTGGGACACAAGAGCTGGTAAAAATTCCTCAAAGGAACCCAATTTGGTTTTAATTTAAATTCTCTCCCTCTTCAGCGTCCAGAACCTGAAGGCAGCTGCTTGAACCTTTAGATGCCAATGCTGATGCTTAAGAAAACTGGCCACTTCAGCACAGTTCTTTCCCCAGGAGAAGCCAAGAACTTGTGTTTCGCCTTCCCCCCAACCCCCCAAAACCAGTCCTCAACTCAGTGATGCAACTAACACCCGCCCCCTGCAGCCTGAGGTCTCGCCCCCTCCTGTGACGTGTCTGTGTGTGTGGTGACCGTGGTATTCGTGGCTGCTCGTCTGTGGATCATGTTGTGTTAGTGAGCCTGGGCCCCTTTTTCTGGGCAGGAGCTGAGCCACCAGGCCAGCAGCTTCTCCCTGCTCCCCCATGGCCCTCCACCACCTCCCGCTTCTGGGAGTCTCCTTTTTCCCTGGAGAGCAGTCCCTTCTCTTGATTTAGGGGTGAATGTAGACGTGGGGGCTCAGCAGGAGTTTCCAGGTGTTCTGGGACTTGGGAAGGTTTACATCTCCTTCATGATCAGTCTTCAAGGTCTCACTTCACTCCTTTAAAGAACCTTGCTTCCATAGTCCATCCCAACCCAAGTAGTTCTGAGGGTCTGCTAGCAATTAGAAATTCATGGCAAGATCCCGGTGAGCCCAGCTCTGTCTTCAGGTGGGCTATGCCCCTTGAGGGTCATTTTTTCTCCTGGGGGCACCTACCATGGAGTCCCCACCTGCCCCACCCTGTGGCAGAGTGGCCAGGGATTCCAGGCCCAGGTCATCTACTCTGCCTCTGGGGTATGTGCCCCTGGCATATCTTTGCAGCAATAACCCCATGGGCTCTGGAACCCCATCCCCCACCCCCACCTTCCCTGACTCAGACTCCAGGCCCTGATGTGGGTCTCTGGCAGGCCTCAGCAGAGGGGATCCATCCTGTTAGGGCAGCGCCCTGGGGCAGGCAGCAGGAAGAGCAGGGGGCTTTTGCTTCTCTGCCCATGTCTCACTGGTCAGGTGGCAGCGATGGTGCCTGCACCCTTTACTTTGCCTGCCAGTGTCAGAGGTGAGTGCAGTGATGGCTGTGCTGCGAGGGCCCAGCGTGAGGGCAAAGGCCATAAAGAGAGTGGAAACTCAACCAGATCCTGCTCCCTCCTGTCCATCGTGTTCTTGTGGAAACTAGCCAAACCGTGCCGCTGTGACCGGGACCGCGTTCTCTGTGCTGTGATCTGTATCCTCCTAACGACAACAAAAAGGAATAAAATACCATTGTTTCCTAGTGGCTCTGTGGTGCTTTCCTTTTTCTAAAAGAACTTGAGCATTTGTAGGGCTGAAGGGACTCTGTCCTTGGGCAGAGGGAGCAGGGGCAGAACCAGCAGGTGGTGTGTGTTTGTTTCAGCAGCTTTAACACTTAGCTCCTCCCCTGCTGCTTCTCTTGCCCTTCCCTCCTCAACACCTCTCCCCCGCTCCCTCTTCCTCCCCACTCTCTTCCAGGCCCGGGCCCAGGCTCTACCCCACACGGGACCTCGGGCACGTCATGCAGAGAAGAAGGGAGCAACAATGGCCTGATGAGGACTTGCTGGCGAGGAATGAAAGGTTCTGACCTCTCTCTTTGATCAGTTCTGGGACCACTACTGAACCTCCCACTAATTGACAGCAAGTCTGCATTATTATCCAAACCCTTATCTTTTATCTTTTGCCCACCCAAATGCCCCCTCCTCTGTGAAGCCATCCCAGACTGCAGGATGAGCACTTTTGGTGCCCCATTCTCATTGGGTTCCTGCATTTATTATCACACATAATACTCTATATCTTGGATTCAAATTGGCCTCTGCTGGGTGTATAATGTCCATTAGTGAACCAGCTGTGGTGACACAATAGAGGAAGCACAGGGCCTGGAATCATCTGGAGTGTCCTCCCAGAAAGAATTCCATTTTTAAAGGTACTGTTGTCCAAATAAACACAGCTGCTGGTCGATTCCCTCTGAGTTGCCCTTGTGGAGCCCCACCTCTGCGTGCTTGGTGTTTCTTTATCATGGACCCTTTCAGAGGGCAAGGATTCTGTCTTGTTCTAACACAAGAATGCTGGAATATCTTAGGGTCTCAGAAAATCTTCAGTGTCTGCAAGTCGTTTAGCTGCGGGATCGCCAGCCTGGATCCTGAGGCTGGGTCCAGCCAATCCTGCCCCTATCTCCCCAGGGGACATACAGGTGCCTGCCCTGCCTCTGCCCTACTTCTACCCTCTATCCCCTAGGTCTTTGTGAAACCTGAGGCTTATAGTGGAGACCAAGCTCAATATTGCCAACCTGGAGATCACGGTGGTTAAAACTCTCTGATGCACTTACACTTTGTAAACAAGCTGATGGCCATCTGCGGCTTGCTCCTCCACACAGGGAGCGCACCGGCCTGCAGCAGTTTCGGAGCATGGTCAGATGAAGTTCCCTAGCACGAGAGATTGTGGGTAGCTTCCCAACTTCCTTACTAAAAGCAAAACATGAAACTAGAAAATAAGTGTATAGGAGGTCCAAAAAATTCTGACTTTTCTCCTAGTAATTAATGTCCATACTAGAGAATGATGGTTCTTTTCTCCAGCATATGGATAAGACAGCTGTCCCCTCTTTGTGAGACTCTAAGCACCCCCTTCTTTTTCCTCCTGGTAATCCAGGGCTACCTCCAAGGCAGGTAGGATAGACTCTCTGATCAACTTGTGGCTGCGCTGGGGCCACACAGCTGGGAGGTGGCAGAGCAGGGCTGAGCCCCGGCTGTCTCTGTCCGAATTCTCACCGCACAGCACATGGCCTGGCTTCTTTCTCCAGGGGGAGGCCGGTGTCCAGGCAAAGGGGAGCGTCATTCCAGTCAGTGAGATCACATCTGGCTGTCGCTTCACGACAGAAACCAACTAGACTGCTCTGAGGAAGGACTTGTGGGAGGTGAGTGGTCTGGAAACTCGACACAGAAAGAGGAGTTAAAGGAACTGATGATCAAAATAATAACCATAATGGTAATCCTAACAGTAACGATGATTGCAGTAATCAATAGAAGCAACTAACACAGCTGGGTCCAGACGCTGGGCCCGGACTTCACATCACAACTCTGAGAACTCATGCCCCCTTTCATAGCACCCCCTCTTTTACAGATGAGGAAACTGATGCTTGCTGGGACTTGCTGAATTTGTGCCACTGGTGGCAAAGCCAAGGTCCAGCCCAGGCCTGTCCAGCTCCATGCTAATCTCAGTGAGTGCTGCAGGGGGCAGGACTTGGGCCGTGAGGCGTACGTGAGAAGGAGGCAGAACTAGCTGCCTGGGAGGGAGACCTTAGTTTCCACAGCGTGAGAATCCCAAACAGGAGCGAGCTCCCCATCATTGGAAGTGTGCAAACCGAAGGAAGTGACCTCAGCTGAAGTGGGATCCCCTAGACAAATGGACTCTGAGAATCTCCCCAGGACAACCTAAGGGTCCAGGCCCAAACTGAGGATTCCCCAATTCCCCTACCAGTGGATGAGCCCACTTCTCCCTCTCTGGTCGAGCACTGCAGGATCACAGAAGAAGATTCCAGAGTCCAGGCATGGATTGCACTTAATATGTGTCTTCCTTCCAGACAGCAGGGCTGTCTCTGTGTCCAGTCAGCCTCCAGCCCCATGACTCATATTTGCAATTTGTAATTTGTTTGAAGGTTGATGGAAAGTTGCTGTACCATTTCCCAGAAGGGAGTACAGAGTCACCTGGTTTCAGATCAGGTGACCTCAGGTGTCCTGCACATTTCACCCCCCCACACAGTTTCTCTAGCCCCCTCCCCTCCCCATAAATTCCACTCCAGAGATTTCCAGCTCTGTTTGCATGGAGGTGTTTGTGTTACTTAACACCACATAAAAATAGGTCGGTCTGCCTTCTGGGCCCCCAGGCCATGGCTCTCCCCACCACTCTGGGATTTTTTTTGCAGGTTGTGCATTGGAACTTGCCAAGTTGTTCTTGGAAGAGAGTCAGAGGCAGCATGCGGGCAGCTGGGAGGGTGGGAAAAGGGAGAGGCCAGCTGAAGCACACCCCAAGGTCACTGGGATCCTTCTCCCCTTCCTCTGGGGAGGGGCCCTCTGCCCTCCCTGGGGTCACAGGCTGACGGGTGACTGGGCAGAGCCAGGTGGGAGAGCCGTCCGGCTCTGTCTAGTTCACCCCACCTTGTCCCTGGCTGCTCTGCCTCAGCCTGGGCCCAGGGAGAGAGAGGGGGGTCCAACAAGAGAGGTCAGCTGTGTTTGCCTGAACCAGGGGAGGAGCTTTCAAAATACCTGTCTCCAGGCCACAAAGAGGAAGAATGGCCTTCTCTCCCCATTAGTGTGATTCATTGCTGTCACCGCTGAACTCCAGGGGGGCAGAATCAGCCAGCTCAAGCTCACCGGCTGTTGGTTTTATGGAGCCAGCTCTGGCCCCAAGCCTGGTTGCACAATAGTTGGGCACAAACAGGTGATGCTGTGATCGGATGTCTTGGGGGACTTGAGGGGAAAGGGGCTGCTGGGGGGGGGGGATCCTGCACCATCCAGAGGAGGGGGTTCCTGTCTCTGAGCAGGTTTGGAGGCGGCCTGGTGGAGTAGGAGGCTTAGGATGTTCCCTGTGTCCCCTGTTCTCTCAGGCTGGCAGAGTCTGAGCAGACCCCAGTTTTCTGTTCTGCAAAATGAAGGTCTTCCTAGCCCCAGGGTAAACTGGGCCCCCATGTAACCTGAGGAAAGCCACATAAGCCTCAGTTTCCTCAACTGTACAATGGGTCCATTCTTTCCTTTCCTGTTCCATGACAGGGTCAACAGGATACAATGGGCATAAAACACTTTGATCCTACATGACGATACTATGCTCCTGATGTCTGTGTTACTATTTCCGTCTGTCCTTTCTTTGAGAAAGAGTGGGTGGAAGGCCAGCAGGAACCATGTTGGGGGCCAGGGAGAGGAGGTGTTCTGGGAGCCTGCTTTAGAGAGGACCCTGATGGGGCAGGGATGGCAGTGAGTGTCCTTGTTTCCTGGAAGGCCTTGTCCCCTTCCTGTTAGACCTGGGTTCAAGTTCTGAGCTGCCCATCTACTCCTGCGGTGTCCTCCTCTGCTTGCCTGAGCTTTGGGGAGAATAAAACCCATCAAAGAGGCACTTCTCTTTGGATCTATGAGAACCAGGAAATGGATGGAATGGTTATCAAAGGAGGAGGGCTAGGCCTCGTGTCACTGGGAAGAGACTTCCTTACCCCAGTCCTCACAGAGGCCAAAATAGACTTAGCAATCTGAAACAAATGGTAAAGAGGGTTGCAAAGCCATGGTGGTGGAATCCAGAAGGTCTCAGAGGAAAGGAAGAAGCAGACATGGGTGGGTTTCCTGGAGACCTTCCTGGAGGTGGTGAGTCTCAAGCCGCTTTTCCGTGATAAGCAGGAGTGTGATTACTGGGGCTAGGACTGCAGCTGGAGAGAATGTCTGTGTCCTAGTTCAAGCCCAGACCTGAGTTCCTAGAAAAGTCAAGAATGCATTTCTCTCCAGGCTATTCACTGGCAGGGGAGGGGTGGGTCACACGAGTTTGTCCTTGTCACCAGCTCTAGAAGCAGAAGAGGACGTCCCCTTCGGTGACCTTGATAGAGTACATTGCCCTTTGGCAGGTTCCCAGGACCTGTGTGCCCCGGGACTCAGGCCATCTTGAAGCCAACACTTAAGGAATGGACCCTCCTGGGTCCACCTCCTCCCAGCGCTGCCTTATAAGACCCCAGTGACCCTGGTATCTGCGGCCACAGCAGGAGACAATGCTCCTGGGGGTTCGGGACCTCTGCACAGCACAGATGGGGCCTGGGAGCTGCCCCCTTCCCTTCCAAGTGGTCACGCACACCAGGCAGCCAAGGACCGACCTGAGGCGGGAATCAAGGCTTTCTAGGGGCTTCTGGCTTCTTTCCAGCTGTGAGTCAACACCAGGAGGACTGGCCAGGGACCTGGATGCAAGAGGGGCTCTGGCGTGGGCCCCTCACTCCCAGGCCTGGCAGAGCTGGAGAATTCCGTCTTTGGGAGGCTGGTGGCGAGGGTCTTCGCGGCATTGCTGGCTGTTGAGGACCTGGCCGACAGAGTTCAGCTGGCACCCCGGCCTGTTTCCTCCCTACGCCACCACCCAACAATGACCACCCAGACGGCTGCTCTGAGGCTTACGCCAGGGACAAACGGAGGCTGCTTGGGGAAGACGGGAGACTGAGGCACGACAACCGAGGACCTGAGCATGTCCTGTTGGGTGTGACGGTGCTAAAAGGGGGCTCCAGGAACTGGGGCTACCTTTCCACATCTTTTGAAGCCCTCTCGATTTCTGGGCCTCAGGGGAACAGCAGAGCCCCTCTGTGGCTTGAGTCTGGAACAGACAAAGGGACGGGTGTGACATCTTTGCCTGCCCTGTAGCCTTTTGGGGCATCAGGGCAGCTCTCTCAGCCCTGTGACCCCATGCCCCAGGAAAGACTGCAGTGACAAGAAGTAGGGCCTGACTCCAGCAGGGAACAGCCAGGCTGCTCGAGTGCCTGGGAGGGGAAAGGAGGTTGGGGGTACTGAGTGGGTGGAAGGCTGGCAGGAACCATGTTGGGGGCCAGGGAGGGGAGGTGTTCTGGGAGCCTGCTTTAGAGAGGACCCTGATGGGGCAGGGATGGCAGTGAGTGTCCTTGTCTCCTGGAAGGCTGGGGTGTCTCCCGTCCTTCACTGAGGACAATGAAGTGGGCCTTATTAGGGTGATTTTTGCACAGATGCTCCACCTATATCATCTCTGTTCCTACAACAGCCCTGCAAGGTAGGTGCTGCCAGCCTCCCAACCCCTGATTTTAGGCAGGAAAAGAGAGCCAGAGAGGTGACCGTCTCCAGTGTCACACATCCCATAGGCAGCGCCAGGGTCAAAGGGATTCAAGTATGGGGTGGTGTGGGTACAGAGACATGGGGGGGCACTCTCTGGGTTTCCCCCAGGGGCTGATGTGCAATGGGCTGAAGAATCCAGGGCCTCCCCGGAGGGAAGGCCCTGTGTTCCCAGTGTCAGGCAGGACCTGGTGACCTCAATCAGTTGGAATGGGGGTGGGGTGACTAGGACCAAGTCTGAGTGAGGTGAGGGGGACGGGATGTCTTCCACTTACTGCCTGGGCTTTCCCTGAGAGGACAAATGGACACTTTCATGAAAACTGTCACAGGGCTCTGGATGGAGTGTTGAGCAGGGAGGAGAGGGGCAGCAGGGGTGCCATAGCCCTCAACAAGGACTCTGGAGGACCTGTTGGCAGGGTGAGGGGTGCTCACCACTCACTCCCTCTCTGTAGGGGCTAACTAGGTCTTGCTACCTACTGTAGGCAGGTGATTTCATGGGCAGAGGCTGCTTCAGGCAAGTTCTTGCCTCTGCCGTGCCATTGGCAAATTATTGCACCCCTGGGACTTATTCATGTCACAAGAATAGGGGTCCACATGTGCCATCTAGAGGGGCCAGGAATTAACACAACACACAGAAATCCTTGCTGTCTTGGAGCTTAAATTTTAGTTAGTGGAGAGATGAGTACTGAGATAAGGAAAATATAGAAGTAAACACTTCAGAGGAAAAAGAAGGCTAAGGACACTGAAAAATTGCAGAGTGATGTGAAAACTTTAGACAGGGATGCCAGAAAGGGTCTTCAGAATCAGTCTATGAAGAAAGACCTGAGCCAAGTTAGCCAGGAAGCTTTCTGGAGGAAGAAGAGCACTCCGGCAGAGGAGCTGCCTGTGCAAAGGCCCTGAGGCAGGAGTGTGCCTGAGGGCTGGAGGACCTTCTAGGAGACCACCCGACTGCAGACTGGAGACAAGGTCAGAGAGGCCATAGGGGCCAAATGAGGAAGTGCCTCAGAGGACAAGAAAGGACTGTGGCTTTTTCTCTGAATTCTCAAAGAGTGAACCCTTGAAAAGAGAGGAGCTTGGTGGGATGATCCGGGAGGGCTTCCCAGTTAGTGCACGACAGTGGGCTCTGTCTGGTCTTGAGATGCCTAGACCTCCACTTTTCTGGGCCCCTGATATTTTTGGACCAAGTAATCTCTAAAGTCCCATCTAGTCCTGAGACCTACGAAGCACTGGAAGCACCCAGCTTGGAGAAATTCCTGTCAGCTGCCCTGGGCTGAGCTTACGGTTTCCTCTTGGGGTCTGTCACATGGCTTTGTCTGAGCAGCTGACCACGGCCATGGGCAGGTCAGCCCCTGCCTAGCAGGCTGTGGGGAAAGAAGCAAGGGGCCTGGAAGCAGCGCTACTGCTGAGGGGGTCGGGGTAGGGAGGCAGGACAGATCCCAGACCAGCTAGATAACACCTCTCCAGGCCTGCTGGCTCCATTTCCAGAGCTTCCAGCCCCAGGGGCATCCTTTGTCATCCCCCAGGGCAGGATGTGTTGCTAAGAGGGAGAGTGGTGAGCTGTCACTGTGGTCAGAGGTTGGCGGGCAGGGAGCCAGAAGCAGCAGCTCCCAGACTCTGCTTGTCAGTGTCTGTGTTGGGGTGACCGGGCGTGGCGGCCTGAGGAAGCCTGCGTCCCAAGCTGCACAGAGACTGCTTGTCTCATCTTGCGCTGGGCAGCCAGTGTCGGGGGTTGCCCCTCCTGTCCAATACAACCCCCCACACCTGGCCTGCAACTAGAAGTACTGTCTTCCGGCCATTCCCCTGGGGCCCCAGCAGCTGTCCTCTGAGGCCTCATTAGGTGGCTGGTGTCTCCGGCGGGACCACTGAGCTGTGACGGGCAGGTCTGACATCACAGCCTGTGGTAAGTCACTGGGGGCTAAGAGAGGGGGCCCCAGCTGAGGAAGGGCAGGCCACCACGGAAGCAGTGCCTGCAGCAGCTCCCCTCCAGACCCCACCTGCTGATCTCAGCTGACTACTAGTACAACACAGGAGGCCCCAGCTCAGGTCTCAGGCCTCCTGGCCAGGCCCTGAAAAACATTCCCGTCCCACCAAGAGGCATGCAAGGGCTGCTGCTCTTCTGCCCTGTCCTGGCTATGGAACGGGGTTTCTCAGGACCAAGGAGGCCCAGACGAGCTGGAGGATGGGGGTTCAGCTAAGTAAAGGCTCGGGGGGAACTACAAGTACCCCTGAGTGTCTCCTTCAATAGTCACTAGTCCAGAGACCTAGTGGGGAGAAGGGGCTTGGGTTCTGCTGCCTCCTTCATGGGGACCCTAGGCTGCTGAGAGGGCGCTGGTTGTGGCCTCTCCCTCAGGGAAGGGCTGGCATGGAAGCTGAGGTTTGGTCGGCCTTGGCTCCTAGCTTCCCCTTCCTCAAGTGCCGTTGGAGGCTGAGCATCTCCCCTGCTCTCACGCTCTCAAGCTCTCACGTGGAGCCGGGGCCCCAGCCCTCCCCTTGGGCAGACACGAGGTGAGGGCTCCCTTGCCAGCCCCTCCTCCCTCCTCTCCCTGGCTTTGCCTCTTCCTGCCTGTGGGCCACTGAGGTGTGGAGGGAGGGAGAGCCACTCTTCCACCCAGCTCACAAGGCACAGCGCTCGCACCTTCCACTGCCGGCACGGCTGCTCCATCCCACCATGGACAGGTGGTACCCAGGTGAGCCCCTGAACCCCATCCCTCCTGCCTTCTCAGACCACACAGGTGCAACCTTGACTCTCAGCACACCCACCTATTTCCCAGAAGTGCTGGAAAGGCAGCAATGAGGGGAGACAGGATTTCTCAACAAGGGCATCTCCTTTGTTGTCCTGGGCCTGTGGGGGCCTGTGCTCCCAGGGGCTCCGAGCTGGTGGGCGAGGAAGACAACCTGCCCACGGCCTCTTTTCCTGTCTAGATACCCACTGACTCATTCAGGAATCTGGTGCCAGGCTGCTGGGGTCCATCTTGGTTTTCCGGCTTCTCGTTACCTGCCTTCTGGCAAGTTCTTTAACTTCTCTGGGCCTCATTTTCTTCCTTTATAAAATGGGTGTGACAATGACGTCTTCCTTGCCTCATTCAAGGGTGATGATGATTGAGCACATTTTGGTAAAATGCTTAGAACAGTGCCTTATGCATAGAGTTCAAAAGTGTGGCTATCAACTTGCTTTTCCTACTGTTTTCTCTCCTATGACAATTTGTTTCTTTTTCAAATTATATTATTTTTCATCAAGGTAATGTTGGTTTACAACGCCTATGATTTAGGAGCATAGGTTCACACCTTCTATTTCTACTTTTGTTATCTATCTATCTATCTATCTATCTATCTATCTATCTATCTATCTATCAAGTTTCTACCAATTTTTATATTCCTTTATTATTCCAGAAAGAATCCATGGTCACATATGAGCTAGATAAAATACCCTAAGATACCAAGAGGATGTATGTGGGGGCCTCAAGTGTCTTGTGGAGGATGGCAATAATTTGGGGGGCAGTGTCCTGGGGACCTGGCTCTGTAATCTTGATTTTGTCACTACATGGGAGTCACGGGCATTGCCTTATCTTCCCTGCCCCCCATCTTCCAGGTCTGCCTGTGGGGGTCATGGCACTGCCCTGGCCACCTCCGGGGGCCAGAGCCAGGACACAATCCATGTCAGTTTCTTTGCTATGAAACGGGGCCCATGTGGTGCACGTGGGTAGTGCCTGTGAAGAGGCTGATCTGTGATCTCCCCTGCACGTCAGCTCTGTTGAGGTGTTTTCATCTACCGCTTGGCTCTGAAAGCAGAAAAGAGGGGAGTAGGTGTTGCAGCTCCTGGTCTGCAGGGCTGGGACATCTGTGCATCCCACCCGTGTGCTCACTCTCACTGGAGGGTGGCGGGTGTTCTGTGGCCCACAGCTAGGGTTCAAGTCAACACAACCGGAGCAGCCATGACACCGTGTGCAGCACAGCACGGCTGTGCTCTCGCTTCTTCCTCATGACCATGGGAGGTCATGTCCTGGTTTACCCGTGAGAAGACTGAGGCACAGAGAGGTTAAGTAATCTGACAGAGGCCACATGATCAGCGAGTGGAGGGGCCGTCAGTGCACTCCAGAGCCCATGCTCTGCTGGATGGAGGCCTCAGCCAGTCATTTCCTCTGATAAGACTAGCCACCCATTGGGCGCTGACCACTGGTCTCGGCCCTTGGCTTCTGCTGTAGCCTTAAATGTGAGCCCATTCAACAGACTAGAATTGAACCAGGAACTTGGGCCTCATGGAGTGCCCAGTGGAGTGGGAGTGGGCTTGGAGGTGTGGGGGCTCCTAAAGTGGGGGGCCCAGAGGTCAGTCTCCTCCTCACCCTCACTGGCTATGTGACCTTGACCAGGCCAGGACCCTGACCTCTCTTTGCCTCAGACACCTCATGTGTAAAACTGGGAACTAAAGCACAAGGAAATAGCAGAACAGGAAGGCCTAGACCCTGAAGTAGCCTATGGGGCAGGGAGTGCAGGACACGGGCAGGGAATCAAGCCAGCAGGGAATCAAGCGGGGCCCAGCACCCGTGACAGAAGGAAAGTGCCTGGGGCTGCGGGGAGAGGGATTAGTTAGAGATGACTGGAGCCTCTCTGGCCAGACGTGTGAGCTGCCAGATGCGCCTGGATGGATGAAGAAGACAAGGGAGGGGAGAAGCCAGGCAGGAAGGGGATGTGAGCATGGCCGGTGGCCTCAGGAGGGCCGTGAGGTAGGAGGGGAGGTAGGCCAGGCACCTTGGGACCCTCTCCAGGAAGTCGTGGGTGCCGGTAAGGAGCATCTGCAGAAACGGTAGCTGACAGGGGAACAGCCAGGTGGGGCCTCAGTGGGATATATTCGCCATGGAATGTATTTTTAAACTCCCCTTCCCCGCTGCCACACCCCCAGCCTTGGGTTCGCCAGCTGGTGGAAGACCACCATGGCCGACCTTTCCAGGCTCTCTTTGGAAATTGCCTGTGGGAGACTTTGAAAACCCCCAGACACCCCCACCCCACCCCCACTGCCCACCCTGCACCTCCTCGCGCCTCAGCGGGAGCCCCTCTGTCCCCGCCAGGGCTTTTCTTGTGACCGGGGTAAATATTACCTGGCACTGTTAATGTTTAATGCCCCCACCTCATCCCTGGCCACCCCAAGGCCAGACACTCTCCCTGAAGCGGAGGCAGCGGAGACAAGCCCACTGGGGAAATGTCCGGGCTGTTCAAGAGTGAAGGTGAGTGTGTGTGTGCAGTGTGTGAGCTTAGCCCCCCTCTGCAGGGGTGAGCTGGACCCCACTCTTTCCTCACCTGCCACCCCTGCCTTCTAGCCCACTCTGCGCCCCACCCTGTGCCAGCCTCCCTTCTAGAAAACCTGCTTTCAGAAGAGGATCCTGCAGTAACTCCAAAGAAATAGAGCTGGGCCAGCAGGGCCTCAGGAGCCGAGTAGTGGGTGGGGGTTGAGATTGATCTTAGCTTTACTGGCATAAACCTGTCTCAGTTCAATGGATCTTTCTGGACTATGTGAGCTCAGAGCAGGAGGTGGTCAGAGGTAAGGCTGGGAAAGGAATAAGCCCTTTGGTCAGTCTTCTCAGGTTGGCTTTGGGTCAAAGCCCCCCAGGAGGCATCCTGTGGTGGGGATCAAAGGGGAGTCAGGCCTGGAGGCCAACAGGGGCCTCTGCGTTGACAATAGTGGGTTTTGAGCCAGATGTGGAAAGATGAAGTTTGGGGTAAGGGAAAGACTCGTTAAATCACTCAAGATTTCCTGGTGTGGTGAGGGGCCCATGGGACTAGTTATGGCTCTTACACTAACTCCCCAGGTCACCTTGGACAAGACCTGAACTGAATCTAGGAAGACAACCTCTCAGGCCATATGCCTGGGGACAGACACCTAGGCCTCCACAGCCTCCCACTGGCCTTTGCCTTCCTGAGCAACCAGTATATCAGCCCCTCAGCCCAGGTGCCAGCCCCTCCTGGCCTAGGGAGTGTGTAATGTGGGATAGCCAGGCCTATTGGGTCCTGTGGCCCCCCCCACGCCTGGGACAGAGTTCAGCACAACCTGGAGGTGCCTACTCGCACATTCCTTCAGCCTCAGCATTGCCTCCTAGTGCCAAGGGGCTCAAGCAGATCAGGAAAAAGGGGTGGCTCTCAGCCATGGCAGAAACACTCTGGCCAGGCTGCCTTCCAGTGGCCAAGGGCAAGTGTGCCCAGTTAACAGGGCTGGAGGGCAGAGCTGTGCACTTTCTTGTGGGAGGGCTGGGCAGAGCCACATTGGGGTGGGGAAGCCACAGGAGGCAGGGAACTGGATCAGGTGACTTCACATGGAAAGGTGTTCTTCCTTCTGAGAAGCAGCAAAGCAAAGTGGCTAAGCACCTGGACTCTTAGCAGTGTGTTGCCTGGGTTCAAATCCCAGTTCTACCCTTTATTAGCTGTGCAATTATCAGTGAATTGCTTAACTTCCCTGAGCCTCCATCTTCATAGGGATTCTACTGGAATAACACGAATGCCTCACAGGGTTGTTATGATGGTTAAATAAACTAATGTCTGGTTAGTCTTAGCCTGGCACATGGTAAGCAATATATATTAATGTTTCATAAATCAATTTGCTTCCCCTGGAGGATAGCAACATAGGAGAGAAGAATCTAGAAACCTGGGTCCAAGTTCTGGCTCCACCTTTGATATTGGGATTTTGGACAAGTCTCCAAACTGGGTCTCAGTTTCCTCCTGTTCAGTGAAATTTCAGGTTCTGTTCATCCAGCAAGTATTTGCTAACCCCCCCGTGTGGATTAGTCATATGGAAAGAGGCCGTGAGGAGTCTAATGGGAGAGGACTCTCTTGGCCTTTTCTGCCTGTGGTAGGAAGCAAGGAGCAGGAAAGTAACACCTCCCATCCCCCAACCCCCTAGGGCCTGGCGTCCCCAGGGGGCCTGGGTCTCTGCTTTGGATGCTTAGTATTTGGTCCAAGTTGACTGTGTCTGAAGCAGCCTGGGTGGGTGCCCACACTGGAGTGGCATTAGCCAACCCACCAGCCTCTACCAGGAATCTCTCCTCACCAGCTCCCTTGTCCACTTGCACGCTTGGGGGTGCTGGGGGAGGGCAGTGCTGCAGTGCCTCCGCCATCCGCGACTGCCCTTCACCTGCCTCTGCTTGTCTCCCCAGGCGGCAGCTCCAAGGGCGATGTGGATCCATTCCACTATGGTAAGCCTGGTGGATCCTCCTCTCCCCTTCCTGCCCCCCACTGCTCCCCTCCCACTGCCTACCCATTCCTGGTTCCCAGCCTCTGCTGCTTGGGTTATGTGCCCCCAACTACCCAGTCCCACCTCCTTCCTTCTCCTTCCTCAGACTATGAGACTGTGCGCAAGGGGGGTCTGATCTTCGCTGGCCTGGCCTTCGTTCTGGGGCTTCTCATCATCCTCAGTAAGTGGGGTCCACCTGGTGTTGGAAGTGGGGGTGCACGTTTCTTCTCAAAGCCACTGAGCATTCTGGCTTCACAGGTGGGTGGGTGGGGGGAGCCCTTCATCCCCTCCCAAGACAGACGCACGGGCAGGGGGCAGTGAGATTTTCTGCTCCCCTCAGATGCCGAGCTCTAGTGGACAGGGGCGCTGCTGAGCCAGGGGAGCCCCTCCCTCCTGCTCAGGCAGCCCTGGTGTGAACGGGGGCCAGGCTAGGGTGGCACGGGCAGGAGGGAGAGAGGAGAGACTGCAAGAACTGAGCCCTCCAGGAAAGAGGGATGACTTTGGAAGCACCAGGTGGATAAAACTAACCCCCTTTCTCTCTTCAAGGCAAAAGTCTCCGCTGCGGGGGCAAGAAGCACCGGTGAGTCCTGCTGATTGAGTTGGGGGAGAGGGTTGGGGAAGGAGAAGCAAGCCAAGGATTTTGGTGTCTGAGGCCCATGAAGTGGGGGACCCCTCAACTTACTGGCTTCCCCCAAGGGCCTCTTACTGTCTTTTTCCTTCCCCACCCCAGGCAAGTCAATGAGGATGAGCTGTGATAACAGGTATGTTGGGGGGCGGGGGGCGGGCAGGGGTGGCGAGGGGCCACATGCAGAAATGCAGAGGGGACTGGGCTGGGAAGAATAGTAGGGTCTTCCATCCCGCAGGCAGATGGTGGATCACGTGGTTTTTAAATGCTGGCCCCGTGCCCAGCTCAGCATATATGGCAAGGGGAGGGGGTGGGGAAGCTGCAGAGGAGCCCCAGAAAAAGGGAAGGTGAATAAGGAATGAAAGCAGAACGCCCTCTCTGCCCCCTCATAGTTCGAACCCTGACTTTGTCTTTTCAGAGTCAGCTGTGCCCACATGGGCCCTGGCCTGGCCGGTTGGCGGTGGGAAGACTTCCCGGGGCTGAGGCCTTTGTTCCCAGCACTTCCTGACCCTCAGCTGACGGAAGCACCAGGTTCAATGTGACCCCTGGGTGGGTATGGCCCCTCCACTCATGCAAGTAATAAAACCCTTCAGACCGGGCTCCTTCCTAGGCCTGCCTGCCTTCTTCTCTCCATAACCCCCAGGACCTGCTCCCCCCAGCTGGAGTCAAGTACAGCCTGGTCTCTGTGTCTTGATTAATTGCTCAGGTGCGTGGGCCTGTTAGCACACATGTTCAGGACCATTACCTGTAGCCCTCTCCTCGGCCCCTAAATTACCAAGCGCCCTGGGGACAGAAGACTCCGCCTGCTTTCCACATGCCACAGAGAAAGCCCAGAGTAAAAGATCACAGGATCCCAGCTGCCCGGTCTGTTGGGTGCTGCTTGGGCATCTGGGTGCCGCTACTGCAGCTCCCGCTGGGAGGGGCTGCGGGCTTGTCCTAGACTGCCTAAGTGGTAGCTGTTCCTTGGCACATTCTGTTCTCTGCCTTTTCCCCAAGTGCTCCCACGGTCTGGGGGCACCTGGTGTGGGTCTCAGCACACGCTCTCGCCCTAACCCTCTCCTGACCCCCACTTCCCATTCTTGGGGCCAGGGGACCTCAGCTGGACCTACTCTCATCCACCTGCTTGGGTGTTGCCTTGACTAGTCCAGGCCTGGGAGTGGACAGTAAGGGTGAGGCCTTGCTTGCTGTTTCTCCCATCCCGTCCCTGGCTGGCCTCTGTCCATGCCAGCTCTCCAGGGCAACCTCAGCCAAGAGAGTATCAGGCTGCTCTCCCCAGTGCCCAGCTCCCTACTGCCTGCCACCCGTGGCAGCAAGGCAGGCTCCCCGCTGGAAGGAGCGCTCTCCCCCTTCAATCCAGTGGGAGGGATGGCGGCATGATGACGCCACCTAGTGTCAACTTTCGTCCTCTGGGTCGGCCAGAGGAACCCAGACAACAGCAAGTTAGTGGATTTTAAAACAAACAGGGTGTATCTGGGGTGTCTTCTAATCCCAAGGCAGAGTAGGTCACCTGCAAGCCTGACAACTACTAAGTTCTCTATCTTCATCATTGTCCTCAGTTCCTGAAAATAGTCAAACTTCACAGAATCCCCGAAGCTTGAATACAGAACGTCCTTAGCAAAATAGACCATTCTCATTTTTCAGAGAAACTGAAGCCCCAAAAAGACAGTGGCTTGTCCAGGTGACTCGACCAGCCTGCACGACACCCCTTTCCATGTCTTCTCACCACAGCGACAGGCCAGGGGTGGCAGGGGTGGGGGCAGGAGGCGATTCCCCTCTGACCACCCATGGACTTGGAGGGAGACAGGGAAGGGGAAGAGCCTGGGGTTGGGAGGAGATGGTCCAGGGACAACAGAGGGGAATGCCTGGCTGCTTACAATTCAGGACTTTGTCACACCCTGTTCGCAATGCGGGCTCACTGATGACAGAATCCAACATGTTTGTTACGATGACAAGGGACACACGCCTGAGCTGTCCGTGACTGTGGGAGAAATGAACGCGGACGGGGCAGGTCATGCCAGAGGGACTTTTGGGCAGAGATGGCCTCTGGAGGCTTCTTGGATGTAACACCAGCCAAATAGGAAGGGGGTATCCCAGCCTGTGGCCCACATGGGGAGAAGCGCGAGAAGTCTATTTCTAGAATGTTCTATCCACAGGCCCTGGAGTGTACTGGCTCAGAGGGGACTTCCCCTCTCTGCCCTGCTGCAAGCCCTCCTTTCTTGTGAAACCCAAGTTTCATCAGGACCCAGGGTTTCCACCCAGAGAACCCAGTGTGCCATGGAAAGTCCCAGAAACCCAGCTCACCCTCCAGGCACCTGAGTATGGCTCTTGGGTGGGCCATGCAAGCTGCTGCTTAACAAGTTCCCAGGGACTCTGGAGACCAGCCAGAGCTGAGCACCCGGGATGCAGGTGACATTCTGAGTTCTGAGGTCTATGGCCTGCTTCTGGCCCCTGGCCGTGGGAACACTTTCCCTTTCCTCTCCATGGAGGTCACATGGGCTGGAAGCCACTGAACTTTTACTTCACTTTGGAATTTTCCACCATTCATATGCAAGTTGAGTCACAAAGAGCAGCCAGGGCTGGGGCTGGATGACTTCATCATCACACAGCCCCCAGAAATAACCCGCGGGAGGGCTGCTGCAAGTCCTGTCGTGCCCGCCAGAGGGAGCGCGTCCTGGGCCCAGTCCCTTCAAACTTGGCTTTTTCAAGTCTGTCTTTCCAAGGGCCGGGGTGGGGGGGGGGGGGGGGCCCTGTGCCAGGAGGTGGGGCCTCAAGCCAAGGGCCAGGGGCCTGGGTTTCTGCGAGAGCCCTGAGCTCTCCTCCTCCTACGTGCACACACCCCAGGGGTCGCATTGCCGAGCTCAGGGGTGTTTCTTGGCTCTTTCTGGGAGGCAGAGCCCCTATGTCTGGCGTCTTCCTCAGTGGTTGGGGCGCAGCCACCGACCTCGCAGCGTGAGTTCATCAGTGTCCTGAGCAGGAACTTAGAGGGGCAGAAACGCTGAGCAGAGACGTGGTGTGGAGGCAAGTGAGAGGTTGGCTGCCTGAGCTGCTGCTTTAGCCCAGCTGCCCACATTCTGACTGGATTATGGGCACGTGGTGTTTGTCTTCTAGCGGCCTCAGGTGAATTTAATGTAAGCTCAACCTCCCGGAGTTGAAAGTCACTGGCCTAGTAGGTGGACGCGGTGAGGAGAGTGGCAGGAAGGGGGGGTACAGATTCAAGGTGGGGACTCTGAAGGCCTTGACCGGCCTCCCGGTATGGGGAGAGGCCAGGCGTGTCAGCATCACCCCACCCCAGCAGCGGCCTCACTCCAGCCTCCTCCAGAGAGAGAGACAGAGACAGAGCTTTCCAGGCGCCAGAGGTACGTACTGGCCTTCATGCTGGGGCCACGGGGTCCTCTCCTGGGCCTCTGTCCTGGCTGTTCCTCGCGGCACCCCTGGACCGGAGGCGCTAGGCAGGTAGGTGGGGGTGCTGGCGAGCCGGGCGGCGAGTCTCGCTCCTGTCCCGGGCTGGGTGCCTGCTGCCCAGTCTCACCCAGCCTCTGAGCACCTCCAGGGGCGGAGAGCTCACATATGCTGGACGGTGAGGGCAGAGACAGAGCCCAAGGTGGCGCTGGGGGTCAGAGGGGCCTCTTCGGGGGTTCTGGCTGGACTCGCAGGCTGGTGGTGGGGGCAGGATTTTCCAGAACTTGATGTCCCAATAGAGGAACCGGAGGCTTAGACCGGAGGTTCTCCTGTAAGCGTGGATCTTTCCAGAATGAGGGTACCCCTGGCACAAGTTTTCTAAACCTTGTGGGAGGTCCCAGCAACCTCAAGCCCCTCCAGGCTGAGCCACGAGGGGGCGCCCCGGAGCATCCAAGCATCCTGGTCCTGCCTCTGTCAAGGGGAGTGGGCTTGGTGGGCAGGTGGGAGGGGGAGCTGGGCTGCGGGGGGCCGGGGCTGAGGGTGTGCTGGGTTTTTCTGGGCTCTCCCCACCCCACCGCCCCCCCAGGCTGGCAGCCGGCTGCTGCTGGAGAGATTAATTGCCTCCCTGTTGACCCTCGACCTCAGGAAAGCTGAGCTCTGAACTGCAATTCAACAGGGGCCTCTGGGGGCAGCGGCGACCTGCTCCTGCCAGGCGTCCATGCTTCATCGGATACACGCCTGGCCAGGAAAGATGGGAGGTTAATGCCACGGCTGCCAGGCCCTGTCCTATCATTGTGGCGAGTCCCCAGCTGGGAAGCTGGATGGGCTGGGAGCCAGCCCGGGCCACAGCAGCCTCTGTCAAGGGCCTTGGGAGGGGGTGCTGAGCTGGGGCTGGGGCTGGGGGCAGGGGCGGAGTAACCCAGCCTTGGAAAAAGACCCCAGGTTTGGCCTACTGCCCCCTCCTCCCAGACTGGGAACATTTGACATTGTTCTTAGGCCATTGGAGGCTGGGGAGGAAACCCTATTTACAACCTTGAACTCCAGTGCCCAGGGCTTCAACCCAAGACTGAAGAGGTGAGGGAGTTGGCAAAGGAGACCAGGGTGTAGAGTTACCCCCACAGATGGACAGTCTGGAAGGCTCTGGAGGGAGCTGCATTGGGGTGGCAGCTCTCCAAGCCTATTTTCTGGCTTGTTAGGCTGTCTGTGCCATGACCTTGGGTGACCTCCCATAGCTTGGGCACCCGCCTCTACCCCCGGGGCCCTCGGGATCTCCTGGCTGCTGTTTGTCTCAAGTTCTTTTTTTTTTTTTTTTTTTTTTTAAAGATTTATTTATTTATTTATACAAGCACTGGGTACAGTCAGAAGCGCGGGAGGGTGAGAGAATTCACCAGAGCCAGAGCGGGGAGCAGAGCAGGCAGAAGGACCGAAGTACACTGCTGAGGGGAGCAGCGGGCGGCAGGAGAGGTCTGTGTGCTATGTGGGAACCTCACCGGTGGCCGGGGCTCGAACCGGCGCTGCAGAGGCTGAGGGCAGCTTCGCAACCCAGTGCTCAACCGCTGCGCCACCGGGGAGGCCCTGTTTGTCTCAAGTTCTAAACTTGGTTCCCTTTTCAAGAAATTTTCACCCCCCAAGGGTGGTCTTGTCACTGGGAGGAAGTGAATTCCTAGGGCCAGGATGAGGTTAGATGGGAGAAGGTCCAGGCCGGGGCAGTAATTCATGACCCCAGGATGGGGTCTGCAGCCCTGCCCCACTGGAGACACGGAGAACTGGCTCACCCCAGCTCTGGCCTCACTTGCTGCTTCCCTTCAGAGGGGACTCGCCTGTCTCAGGACGTGGCTTTGGGAAAAGCAAAAAAGAACTCATGCAGGCATTGGCCTCAGAATCAAAGGGCCCAGGGAGGGTAAGTGGTGGGGGGCTCATCCTCCCTGGCCCCAGGAGAGTGTGCTCAGGGAATGCTGGGTGCATCTCCCCTCCCCCAAGAAAACACATTTGCTCTCTCCTAGTACCTAAAACAGAGGCACTGGCATGGAATGACAGGGGACAGAAAGACACACTTGACAAAGCGAGGAGATGAGGCTGCCTTGGCCCAGAGCCAGGAGTGTGTCGCGTTCTCTCTTGGTCTTTGTTGCCTGAAAGGCCTATCCATCAGTCACAGAGTCGCGCCAAACCCAGCCTGTTGGGGAGCCCAGGGTCCCCTGCTCCAAAATCAATCATATTTCAGGCCTGGGGTCCATGAACCATATGCTCAAGATGCAGCTAATAACACCACCTGGGAGTGGCCTTGACCCTTCAATGCCCACCAGAGCTGGCACAG